TGAGGAATTCAGCACTCCAAGATAAGCTAGGCAATTGTGTGCTGTACCCATTACTTACTACATTTATAATTGTCTCCGTGTGTTCTCTCATCTTTAGTAGCTGCTGATTGTCTCCTGTCTTATACTTAGATTTTAAGCTTTTTGGGGGTATGGATCATCTCTTCATGTGTTTACAATGCCTAGCATAATGAGGTCCTGGGCCCTGAATAAGGCCTGTAGGTGCTGCCACAATGATTAATGATAATAAATACAGAGACTGTAGAAGAACAAATGCCAAGACCATGATTCTGTGAGAGTATTGAAGCTGTCAGTGCACCAAGTGCTAAAGGAATATCAGCACTTATGAGGCTAATGACCCACAATGCATTGAAATCAGCCTCCATGACTGAGGCCGTAGAGGCTAAAATCTTCAAAGAAAACTAATTCTATGAGGAACCACTCCAGAACCCCAAGGAAGCCAAGGGAATGAGGAGAAATCAGTCAAAGGATGTAGAAATGATAGTGTTCAGTTTTCAAACTGAAGCAGAAGTCTGTAGCTTCATTGAAGTCTGAAACTGCATGACTAAATAACTGCATTTCCAACTGACAGCGCTTTATAGCTAAGCATGGACAGAAAGGAATGGCAATGGCCTGAGACACCAGGGCAGTTGGTTCGAGAATAAGATTGGGCAGCCCATGTCTCCAAAGCACCTGAACTCTTTGAGAGCTAGGGGAGTTCTGGCTTATCTCATGCATCAAGCTGAGATCCAAGGATCCAGTCAATGGTAACTCAATTTTTTTTGTCGTCCTTACGCTAAAGGGCAAAGAGTTTTTCAACTCCAGTTTGATGGACCAGTTACTTTGACTGCTGATGGAAAAGGGTCATGTTCTTAGTGCAGACAGGGCTAAAATCTCTTTCCTTCTCTCTTCAATCTGTATTTCTTTCCTTCTTTCATTTTTCCTTCCATTTTCTTGCTTCCAGTTTTTTTTAAATTTTCCTTTGTTCATTTACTGCGCTGTCTTTCTTTTGCTATTTGCAGAGTCAGTAGAACACTGCACATGGAATTGCTGGAGGGGGAAAATTACCAACAGGATAGTAGCTCTTCTGTATTTTAGGCTCTTGCTTGTATCTTATTGTCTGCCAATCACAATGGGTGGCCCGGGCAGGGGTTGGAGGGCAACTGGAAGCATGACAGGTATGCTTATGCCTGGTAGGACACAGACAATTTATGGTCCTAATTATTGCTCAGGCTCAAATCTTCCTTTTTTGGGGAGTTAATTACTGGGAAGGCTATCGTAAGACAATTCCAGCAACATTTGGAGTCCTCAGATGTATTTGATTTTAGCTCTGGGTATAGACTAGTATGGAGATGGTTAGTCTGGGTTGATGGTGTTTGGGTGATAGACAAACGTAAGATCTACTTTGATTCTTTAGATGTGTTAGAAATTTTTCCCTCTCAAGGGAAAAAAAATATTTCTAAATACCACCCATTCTCTTACACAAGCTTTTCAACAATTATTTTAATGGATGAATCTGTTCTATATAGGTTTTTATACCACACTTATTCCCATAGAATGTGAGTACCTCTCAGTAGTGTGTTAAACAATGAGATTTCACATCTGTCATGTGGTGTTTGTTCTCTCCTCCTCTTTCCCAGATGGAGAAACTTCAGTGGACTGCCTTGTTTTGGTAGGGTTTTTTATTTCTTAAATAACTGTTGCTATGTGTTTTATATTAGAGAAGGCATGGTCAAAGAAATGAGCCTTGCACTTGGAGCGGAAAGTGGTGAGGTTTGTGATGATCCTTGGTTCTGGGGGGAGTTCATTGCAGTTTTGGACCACCCTGGAGAAGGTTCTGTCTCCCGTATGGCCAAGCTTTACTCTAAATATTAAGAATTCCGTTGTGACAGAGGAGCAAAGTTGTTGACCATGGGGTTTTGTCCTACAGCTTTAGACAATCTTTTAGGTATCCAGGGCCTAGGCCATGGGAGCACTTTGAAGTTAAGGAACGAGACCTTGAACTTGATTCAAAATTCTATGGCAAATGAGTATAGAGCACAGAGGACAGGTTTTGATGTGCTCGTGGTAGCCCATGTTGTTGAGGAGGTAAGCTACTAGTTGGAGTTTCCTAAATGCTAAAGGTTTCGTGCTCAGGTATATCTCTTTGCTGTAGTCCAGCTGAGAGGTGGCAAAGGCATGAATAATTGAGGTCAGGTCTTTGTCCGACAGGATGGGATGGAGTCTCCCAGCCAATCAGAGATGGTAGAAGGCATTGCTTGCTGGCGTTGCAATGTGACAGCTCAGCATCGGTGAGGAATCAAGGAGTACTCCTAGACTATGGACTGAGTTGACCTATTGTGGATGTGAACCTTCACTCTAAGGAGACTACACTGTGGTTGCAAACTCTTCAAAATACTTTCTTCTGACCACCAGCATCACCTCTGTTTTGCTGAGCTTCGGCTTCAGCCAGCTATTCGTCATCCATGAGTTGATCTCATCTGGATTGTAGTGGTGTGTTTGTGTGTGATGAAGGATCAATAGAGCTGTGTTATCTGCATATTGCTGGCACTGGAGTACATGTCCAGTGACAAGTTCACTGACAAGTTCACCTAGTGATTGCATGAGAGGACCGGAGAGAGAATTGATCCTTGTAGAACTCCACATGAGGGTTCTAGCAGTGAAAGTGCAGTTTTCCATTTCTACTCTTTTTGGGTGCATACCTCCGGGAAGGACTCAAACCATTTTAGCACATTATTCAGGATTCCTGCCACACTTCTCAGGCGAGACAGCCGTATCTCATGGTTAACAGTGGATGTCTGTCCTCTATCCATTTATAGGAGGGGATCATTCATCAGTGCCAGTTCTGTGTCTTGGCCTGAATCTAGGTTGTGCTGGATCTAGAATGTCGCCATCAGTTAGATGAGTTTGTAGCTGGCTTGCTGCTAGCTTCTCTGAGTTTCCTCAGGAATGAGAGGTTTGACTGTGGGTAGTTTTCTTCAGTGTTGGTTGGATTATTGCATAGCTGTGTCTGTTCCCTCTCGCTTCCTCCACCTTCCCCGCAACATATCACCCCTCTCTTTTCAGACACATATCACTGTTTGAAGGAAGCCATTATAAAACAAATTAAAAATCCCTTGCAGGGTAACATTTTACCCCACTACAGACCTTTCATGCTTGTGCATTCTTTGATGCACATGATGTAAAACAAATGAATTATTTTCTAGGATTAGTTGTGTTTAGCTCTGAGCACCAAGTATTTAGTATTAAAGTCGTCTAGTTTGCTGATTTTCTGTCATAACAGAAGTACAGTTTATTAGTTAGGTTAGCTGGTCTTTACTGAACTGTCTTCCAGTTGTATAAATATTGTTTTTGCAGTACAGCATATTGCACAAAACAATTTTGCAATTAGAAATATTGCTATGTCAGGAAACAGGAAAACACATTGTTAAAAAATACATTCAGGAAATATATTACTCAAAGGAGTTCATGTTCACTTAATGGAGGAAACTGACAGCAGAGACTGTTTATAAGCCCATGTAGACAATAGTGTGAATTGTATTTTCAGTAGCTTCCATAGTTGTTAATGAGTAGTGGAGGGGGTATTAAGCAAATGAATGCAGTTATAAATAAATAGAAAAGTTTAAATTTAAGAAATGTTGGTTGTTTTAATAAGTGATTGACTTCTAGGTTTCTCTGTGATAGTGGTTTGTTTAAGCCAACTGTCTAATTATTTGCAAGTTTAAAATCAAAATTCATGTGCACTAAAAGAACATGGTGCACACTGTAGCTGATTTTTTGTAACGAGGCACATGATTTACATGCCGGTTTTTCAGAAAGCAGTGTTGGTCTTTAAATTGCTGAAAGAAGAGATATTACATATCAACAAGGTGTAATTTTCTCCTGAGTTGGCCAAATGTTGTAATACTAGATTATTGTGTCCCAATTATGCTTTCCCCAAACATCAATTTCTCAATAAATGGCTTGCCTTTCTTGATAATTTAAGAGGTGTATGCTCATCTTAGTATATAGAGATTTATCATTAACATTTGGATTCCAAAGCTGGTCAAAAATATTGTCAAAACACTTTTTTTTGACAAAAAATGGTTGTTGAGTTAAATGGAAATTTTCATTAAAAAATTCATTTTACAAGTGAAGACCCTTTGATAAAAGTAAACTCTTTATTTCATTGAAACTCTCTTGCTGGGGGACGGAATGATTTCCCAATTGACTGTAGTAGTTTTTGACTCATTTTGTTTTACTTAAAAACCAAGGTCAAGCCCAAAATGGGCCTAAAAACAAACAAACAAAAAAACACATTTAGGGATTTCTAGGGTATTGCTCAGCTGATAGGAGGGAATATTCTCTCTGGCTGAGGAGGCAGGATCATTGCAATTCAACTGCTGAAGAGAGGCATGCTTTCCAGTAGTTGTAGGGCAGGAGTAAGCAGCTTCAAGGTGTCCTGAAGCCAACTGGGTGGGCCTAGTGGAAAGGATCAAATATTGCTCTTCTCTCCCTCATGCACTCCAGTTCCCAAGGGGGACAGCGAGCACTACCCCATCTGTTGACAGCAGGGAAGCAGACAAATCTGCCCAACCACAAAGGGGAAAGGGGGATCATGAATCTTCTTTCCCTCATCTGCTCTCAGAATACCATTAAGTTTTGTGTGTTGTGGGTGCTTGGCTTTGTGTTGCATGAAGACCGGGATACCCAGTGCTTCTCTTTTTCCTGCCACAGCAGCCCTTTGAAGTACCATTGGGAAAATAGATTTCACTAGTGTAGATAACTGATTAAATACACTGCACTATTAGTGAACAAGGAATTCAGAATTCCATCTGTGCATCAAAGGGAGAATCCTATAACTCAAAGCCCATAGAGAAAAGTGTTATTTTTCTTAGCATCCTCCTGCATTAACTAGCTTAGCATATAATGTTGTAGTAACTTTGTACAGTAACTTGTCTATTGGAACACTTAAATTTTGTGTGAATACACTGTCAATTAATTTTATTTATTTGTTGTTACAGGAGCTAGAGTTAATGCCAAAGACAGCAAGTGGTTGACTCCCTTACACAGAGCTGTTGCATCATGTAGTGAGGTATGAAATAAACACTTTTTTATTTTTTAGAACAGTTCCATGTAAAATAAAATACAGCATCTCAGACTACCTATTATTTCTTACTCAATTTTCTTATAGAATGAAACTACTGAAAATGCTTAGAGAGCCCAGGACGTTTGCAACAGATTTTTTTTAATTTAAGAAAAAAAAGGGGGGGGGCATAACTTTATAATTCCAATTGTAGAATACAGAAAAAAAATTGCAAAAATAATATGCTCTTAGAAGTTTTCATTAAAAGAATCTAGAATAAGTACAGGTAGTTTGTTTTTATTATTTTAATACAAAAGGAAACCAGAAATCCTTATACATGGAAATAATAAATCATGAATGCCATTCCCATGACAGGGAATATTTCTGAATTCAGAACATAAAGTCCATGATTCCTTTGGGGTGAGATAACCGAAGTGGTTCAGTATAAGGGGAAAATACACTAGAAACGAAATAGGGTTTGTTTTCACCTATACGGCACAATTTTGTAGTGTTTTTTGTTTGTTTTCATTTTTAATAGGCAAGCATTTCCATAGTTTCTTTATTGAAAACATTGAAAAAATCTTATAGCAGCTGTAAGCGTTTTAACATACATAAAGTATTTAGTTTGGGCTTGTAGGTTTAAGTTTCATCAGAAACATTCAAATGTACAGAATAGAGCAGAGCAAGCTGCTAAGAAAATTATATCTGGCATTTTGTTTTGTCATAGAAAATCAAGGTTTTTGAAGCATGTATCAATATGTTGCTAAATATAGAAATATCGTAGGAAGAAAAATTAAGAGGTGCATTTATATCATTGTTCAGATATTGTATTCTCTCCGAGTTTCAAACGGGCATTAAGTGTCATAAAAGAAGAGTCATAAAATTAGCTCAGTAAAAATGCTGAAGGTTAGGATTGAGATGCATTGTTGCTAGAGTCATGTGGGAGAATTTCACAGAACCTGCCTACGCAGAGTTCTGTACCTGCCTACGCAGAGTTCTGTACCTGAGTCATATCAGTACTATTATTGTTTTATTTTTATTAGAGAGAGAGAGAGGATGCTTTTGGTTTTGCAGAGTCTCAGGCGTCAGACTTTGGATCTAAAACCATCCATTTTAGATTTTGCTTTTGGGCCAAATAGTAGCATTTAGCCACTAGCCTAAGTAAGTAGTAATGTGGAGCTGTTATCCCATAAGGAACTTGGGCACAATTCTTCTATGAATGGCTTGGTGCATAGGCTACACTATCCTTTAGGGTAATGCAGTATGCTACCCTGAGGGAGCCTCACTGAAGAAGCAGTCCCTGCACTGTCCTGAGCATTGGGACTACAGTAACTCCTCACTTAACATTGTAGTTATGTTCCTGAAAAATGCGACTTTAAGTGAAACAATGTTAAGCGAATCCAATTTCCCCATAAGAATTAATGTAAATAGAGGGGTTAGGTTCCAGGGCAGTTTCCCCTACTCTGCAAGCACCAGGGGTGGGGGGCTCAACCCTCAGCCCGCCCACTCCACCCCTTCCCCCAAGCCCCCACCCTTGACCCGCCTCTTCTTCCCCCTCCCACCTCCTTTCCCTTTACTTCGCACGCTGCATCCTGGCTCCTCCCTCCTCCCTCCCCTCCCTTCTAAACCCCGCAAGCCAGCTGATTGCCACGTTCGGGAGGCGGGGGGGAGGGGGAGCCTGCGCACCGAGTCCTCGCTCCTCCCCCCTCCTGCCCGGGGCAATCAGCTGGCTTGCGGCGTTTAGGCGGCAGGAGGGAGGGGGAAGGAGCGAGGACCTGGCGCAGGCTCCCCTTTCCTCCCCCCCGCCTCCTGCCCAGGGCAATCAGCTGGCTTGCAGCATTCGGGAGGCAGGGGAGCCTGCGCGTTGAGTGCTCCTCCCCCCCGCCTCCAAAACGCTGCAAGCCAGCTGATTGCCACGGGCAGGAGGCGGGGGGAGAAGGGGGAAGGCGCTGATCCGCGGGGTCTGCCGGTGTGTGGGAGGCGCTGGGAGAAAGCAGGCAGCCAAACAACGTAAGAGTGGAGCATTGCACAACTTTAAATGAGTATGTTCCCTAAGTGATCAGCAACGAAACAATGTTAAGCGGGACGACTTTAAGTGAGGAGTTACTGTATAGTTGTTTCTGCCCCTTGTGTGGGGGATGGGATGCTCTTTGCGTGCTTTCTCCTTCCTTTCCTCCTCATCTGTGAATACCCTCACTAGGATCTGTCACAATTTGGCTAATGATTTTTTGGATCTATGGAACATTTTTACTTTTAAAAAGTTTCCTCTGCTCAGTTATCATTCCTAAAATAAGAATATTATTTTTTCATTTGTATAAGTCTTGCCTTGCTTCTAGGACTGTGAGTATAATAAAATGAAAACTGTAAATCACATTAGCATAGCATTAACATAACCGTAGCATATAAGAACTTGCAGTGAACTGCTTCTATTATGGCAGAATTATATATAAATCTGGAGATTGGGACCTATCCTTCCCCAACCTTCAAAGGGTACCACTTCTCTCCCACACAATGGACCAAGCCAGAGGTCTGCCCCACAGGACCTTTTTAACTTCTACAACTACCTCCCCCACTTCTTTCTCCCCACAAGGAACTGGACTCCAGCAGGACTTCATTTTGACCCAACCCCCGCGTGCCTTAGATATGCAAAAGCTTCAGCTAATACACTGTAAAGCAGTCTGTTTCTATAGCAACACAGGTCACCTGTCGCTCATTTCTTTGTAGTGGCTCCCCATTGAATATAGTCCAACTTAAGTCCTCTGTCCTGATATTCAAAGCCTTCCATGGGCTTGTCTTAGCTACCTGAGAAAGCGCTCTCCCTCTGTGACCATGACCACCTATAACAACAACATTGTATCAAAACAATGAATCTGTCAGCCAACTCTGGGAGGGTGTGTGGAAGACACAGTGACTGGATCTAAACTATGGAATTTACTCCTGCAAGAGATAAGTGACCACAGAACTAATTACTTCTAAATGCAAAATTTATTTATTCTTAGTTTTCCCTAGAGTTTCTACACACGCACAACATCCAGCGAAACAAATCTTATACACTAATCAAATTTATTTATCCTAGAGATTGGAATGGAAGAAAGAGAACTTGTTAGTGTTGTTTCTACTTTTACATATTTGGGAGGCACTTAAATAGTAGGATGATGGAAGACCTTATAAATAGATGGATGGGAACACATACTAGCACACCCTGCAGCTGGGAGTAGCACAGAGATGCTCCCTCTTGAGCTGGTTACTGACTGGTTTCTGGGGCGGAGTGTAGTTGTTCAAGCTCTTGTGTACAGTAGCTAAGGAAGCTCTATGATTAAATCCTGGTTTTGGTATAATCCAGCAGGACTATCCCCCCAAATGAGGGCAGACCCAATTAAACAAGAACATCTGGTCACTTCTTGAATATATTTGGTGACTTTGTTTTCAAACTTTTTTTTTCTTGAACATATTTCAGCTTAGACTTTTAGTCTTCAGAATCTCAATTTGCACTCCTTTTGTGTGCTGGTGTGTTTCTCTCCCCCCCCCTCCCCCCCCCCCCCCCCACAAAATTAAGCAGATTCATTTAATTTGAAAATACATCACTGCACATACACATACTAACTGTACGCTAAGACCAGAGCAATTTTTTACAGTAAAATTAGCGTTTCCTTTGACAGTTTGTGCCCAACCAATACCAGAGCTCTTCTAGAATTTATTTCCTGATTCTTGTAGTGGTTTCATTGATATTAGTCTCAAAGGAGCCAAAGACTTGATATATAATCAGCTTTTTCCTAGTAAACCATTAAATACATTTTGGGTCCATATCCATTTCGCTATTTCAAGTATTTTCTAGGTTGCTCTTACATTTTTTGTTTATTGAGAGGAGAAGAAATTAAATATATAGTTTAGGATAACTTTTGACAGGTTCTTCTAATGGAATAAATACATGGAATGTAGTGTTACTATTTCCGCTCCACCCATGATTCACAGCGATGTCTAGGTATTGCAGCCCAGACGTGTATGCGGAATATTGCTCTGTAATTTAAGACGCCTGCAATATTTAGCCTTAGTAGAATGTTTTAAGTTCAGAGTGGTAACCTTATTTTTGCACTCTTTTTTCATTTGACTAAAGGAACAATCAGAACAATTAATGAATTGTGGAAAACTCTGTGGACTTAATGAAAAAATGAAGTATTGCATCTACATCTTAATATTTGTATTGACAAGCTGTTTTCCTTTGTGTGCAATTGTGTGCATATGTTATTAACAAGATTGTTTTTGGTTTTACTTTCTGTAGGAATGTAAAAGGAATGGTATAAAAGATTGCAGTTTAAACTTGATTTTATAAAGGGGAATGAAACTTCTTACTTACAAAATTACTGTGGTATAGAACTCTAAAGCAGCAGGATTGTCACTTTGGCACCATTAAAAATTATATTCCTTTTGCAGATGTCTGTTTATAATATGATAGTATTATAAACAGGCAGATATGTAAAAAGTATGGTTATTAAACTCTCCATATCTATAATATACCATTTGCAGCTATTTTTATTCTTTGAAAAAAGGTGTCTAACAATTGGTAGTAATATATTTTAAGTACAGTAGTGCCTCACTAATGCATACTAATAGAGGGAGTCTTGAGCATTATTGATCTTGTGATGGGGAATTCCACCAGTGTCAAATGCCAATTGTAAGTGCCTTAGCTGTGTTTGAGGGATCTATAACCATCCCAGAATCTTGCTGGGCTTGAGAATAAACTTTTAACCTGAAAATACATGTGAATGCAGTTTATCAAAGTGTGAATTAGTGAGATTCTGTTGTACTTTACATGGAGTTGCTAAGTATATTCTTTTAGTTCTTTGGTAATGTAATTTATTTTATTGCAAATATTTTCAGGATGCTGTTCAGGTGTTGTTAAAGCATTCAGCAGATGTCAATGCCCGTGACAAAAACTGGCAAACACCCCTACATATAGCAGCTGCAAATAAAGCTGTTAAATGTGCTGAAGCTTTGGTGCCTCTTCTAAGTAATGTAAATGTGTCAGATCGAGCAGGTAGAACAGCATTACATCATGCAGCCTTCAGTGGACATGTTGAGGTATGGATTATTTTCCAGATCTTGTTTCTTAGCCCTCTTGCCTCCCACCAAAGCTCTGATTATTTGTTATTTGCATGCGTGTACATGATCTGGTAAAGTACATTTACAGTTTTAACATCCCTATACTAAAGCCCTGAAGAATACTGTTCCAGTGGTGAGGTATGGCCTTCTTACTAGCCTGTAGGAATGCTTTTTTTCTAGTTTCTGCATTCCCCCAGAAAAAATCAACCTTTTATTTATAGTCTGGGTTCTGCTAAAATGCATAAACTTAAATTGTAAATTAATTTCTAGTGACTGAAGCCATAGTGTAATTTATCCATTTTCAGCAATTTGTATGGAAATGAAAGGTTTTTAATATGTAAATTTGTTGGGTGATTAAATACATAGATTTTTAACTAACTTTTTTTAGTTTTAATAAACAGTATGTATGTAGTAGATACAGTACATATAATATGCCATGGTTGTTAAACAGTTGCATAAAATAGGTAATCTGAAATATTTTGGTTGTCACTTGATATATAATTTAGAGGACCCCATGATCACAACATTGTCACCAATGTGGGCATCCAGTGTACTTAAATGCACAAAATATCAGAAGCGATGTAAATGGAATGGTGGTTTTAAAAGATTTAAAAATTTGGTTTCATTTCACCCAAGATTTATTCTTTGCTTTCATTATTATGCCACATTCTATGCATAGTTTTATATTCTGAGCAGAGGTATTTTACTTATTTTTCTTTCTTCACCCTAGATGGTGAGTTTGTTATTGTCTAGAGGTGCCAATATTAATGCATTTGACAAGAAAGACAGACGAGCTATACATTGGGGAGCATATATGGGTATGTACACCTTTGCAACTGATTCTCTGTGCATTAGGGAGAAAGTCAGTCACTTCATTTTATTGAATTTATATACTTTAATTTCTAGGCAAAAACATTTAGTCAAGGTTACTTAGTAGGTAATTACAAGGAAGGTATCTATACATCTCATATAAAATTTGTAATAGGATACAGCAAACTGTTTTTTTTTTTTTTTTTTTTTTTTTTTTTTTTTAAAAAAAATTTATTTTTATATTTTTTATAAAATTTTAAAAAAGAAAAAAGAAATTTTTTTTTTTTTTTTTTTATGAATGCTTTTGTGGCAGAAAAAAATGACTTGCTAATTTATTTTAAGAAAGGAAAGTAAAACAGTTTCCCCCCTAAACATTAACACTTTTTGGTTTAATGTGGATTCCTGATTGAAAATTTGTGCACTAATGCCCCATGTCTACTAAGAGGAAAGATCGGCGTACGAGGAAACTGAATAGAGATAAATATAATTCTCCATCACTCATAAGTGGTGGTTATAGAGTCATAGAAATGTGACTGGAAGGGACCTTGAGAAGTCATCTGTTCCAGCCCACTCTACTGAGGCAGAATCAAGTGAACCTAGACCTTTCCTGACAGGTGTTGTCCAACGTGTTCTTAAAAAAATCTCCAAAGATGGGGATCTACAACTTCCCTTGTATGCCTAGTCCAGAATTTCACTACCCTTATAGTTAAAAACCTTTTTCCTAATATCTATCCTAAATCTCCCTTCTGCAGATTAGGCCCATTACGTCTTGTTCTCCCTTCAATGGACATGGAGAAAGATTGATTACTGTCCTCTTTAGAACAGCCGTTAACATATTTGAAGACTGTTACAGGTCACCCCTCAGGTTTTCTTCTCAAGACTAAACATGCCCAGTCTTTAACCTTTCCTCATAGGTCAGGTTTTCTAAACCTTCTACCATTTTTGTTGCTCGCTACTGAACTCTCTCCAATTTATCCACATCTTTTCTAAAGTGTGCCACCGTGAATTGGACACATTCATCCAGCTGAGGCCTGACCTGTGCCAAGTAGAGCAGGACAGTTGCCTCTCATGTCTTACATATGATACTCCTGTTAATACATCCAAGAAAGATAATAGCTTTTTTTGCAACTGCATCACATTGTCTCATTCAATTTGTGATGTGCTGTAATTCCCAGATCCTTTTCAGCAATTCCAATGCCTAGTCAGTTGTTCTCCATGTTGTGTATGTGCATTTAATTTTTTCCTTAAGTGTAGCACTTTGCACTTGTCTTTACTGAATTTCATTTTGTTGATTTCCGACCAATTCTCTATTTTGTCAAGACCATTTTGCATTTTAATCCTGTTCTCCAAGTGCTTGCATTTCCTCCGAGCTTGGCATCATCCACGAATTTTATAAGCATGCTTTCCACTCCATTATCCAAATCATTAATGAAAATATTGATAGTACTGGACCTGCAACTGACCTCTGTGAGACCTCCAGTTTGATAGATAACCATTGAGAACTACTCTTTGAATATGGTCTTTCAATCAGTTGTGTACCCATTTTATAGTAATTTAATCTAGGCCACATTTCCAAGTTTGCTTATGAGAATGTCATGTGGGACTATGTCAAAAGCCTTACTAAAAATATGATGTTTTCTAGTAAAGTATCAGAAGCTGACTCAAAAAGGAAGAAGAATAGCCTTTAAGATAGCTGTATTTCTGGTTGATTGGCTCCCTGCTTGGGTTTTGTTTTGTTTATTTAACAGGGAAATGGACCAAGAATAAAACGTCAAATTATTGCACTTCCACTTTTATTGCAGGATTTCAGCCTCTTTTTCCCAATCATTGTCTTGCCTCTGATGATGAAGTTGTCCACAATGGGTTGGTTATCACGTCAGAATGATATAGGCATCCTTTATGTAGACTTCCTTCCCTTAGTCCTTTATGTAGAACTTTGCTGTTTATAATAAGTATGGGAATTCTTTTCTTCAGCTTGTCTGTAGTCATGGTTCCTCACCTCCAGCTTCATTCAAGAAGTGAAGAAAAGATTAAAAGAAAAGCAGATAAGAGCCTTGACTAAATAACTCAGTTATACTTCTAAATAAGTCATAGGCAGCTACTGATGCACTTTTCAGTAACAACCAGTTTTCTTTGACTTCTGAGCAGGTGCAACACATTTTTTTTCTCATATGTCTTTTCTACTTGTGGCATCTGTGTACTTACAAAATACTTTCTGTTGACATCAAAAAAGTTGTAATTTCTTATGACTTGGTACCAACTGTAATTGCTTTCAGTTCTCCTTTCTTTTATCTCAGTAGGGCTGTATTAGTTCTCACTGAAGAATTTATGGTAGTGGCCACAGCTCCGAACAGTAACAGATATCTATTTCCAGGAAATTGGCTAGAAGCAGGTGTTACTTCAAAATGGAAATTATGTGATAAACATACCGTATTAAGTCAGCATTGATTAACCTGAGTTTAATTCTCAATTGCAGGAAAAAGTTAATTGATGCCATTCCATAGTCTTGACTATTCAGTGGTGCAGTTTGACTTTCAAAAATAATAGTTTATCCAGCCCAGGAGAGAAGAGTGAAAATAGAAAAATTGATATTATGTGCTCTGCAAGTATAGGAATTCGTCAGATGAGATATAAACCAAGATCCATTTGTAATCATTAAAGATCCCTCAGCACTCTAGAGTAGTAGTTTTTGCATTAATGTGCTGATCAAATTCAATTCTGGGTAGTTTACAATTTGTCTAACTGTTTCCCTACTCCCAGTTATTCCTAAACATTTGTGCAGTGTTCTATAGCACTGTTAATGGCAGTTGCACTTCATCATAGATATAAATGATTCTTGTATGCTGTGCATAGTTTTTAGATTCACTTTAAAAAAAAAAAAGCATGGAAAATGCTTTGAAATCAGTTTAAATTGTGTATTTATATAGTACCTCTTTTAAAAATAGACTGAAATCTCTTCAGGACAGGATTTGTGGAGAGTTTGGGGAGGGGGGAGGAAAATCTTATTCAGCTATTTTGGATCATTTGCAATGAGACATTACAATTACATTGTCTTGGTACAATGATCTGGACAAACTGGAGAAATGGTCTGAAGTAAATAGGATGAAATTCAATAAAGACAAATGCAAAGTACTGCATTTAGGAAGGAACAATCAGTTGCACACACAAAAAATGGGAAATGACTGCCTAGGAAGGAGTAATGCAGAAAGGGATCTGGGGGTCATAGTGGACCACAAGCTAAATATGAGTCAACAGTGTAACACTGTTGCAAACAAAAAAGCCAACATCATTCTGGAATGTATTAGCAGGAGTGTTTTAAGCAAGACACAAGAAGTAATTCTTTCGCTCTACTCCGTGCTGATTAGGCCTCAACTGGAGTATTGTGTCCAGTTCTGGGCGCCACATTTCAGGAAAGATTTGGAGAAAGTCTAGAAAAGAACAACAAAAATGATTAAAGGTCTAGAAAACATGACCTATGAGGGAAGATTGGAAAAAATTGGGTTTGTTTAGTCTAGAAAAGGGAAGACTAAGGGGACATAATAGCAGTTTTCAAGTATATAAAAGGTGGAGGGAGAAGAATTGTTGTTAACCTGTGAAGATAGGACAAGAAGCAATGGGCTTAAATTGCAGGAAGGGGAGGTTTAGGTTGGACATTAGAAAAAACTTCCTAGCTGTCAGGGTGGTTAAACAGTGGAATAAATTGCCTAGGGCGGTTGTGGAATCTCCATCATTGGAGATTTTTATTAAGAGCAAGTTAGACACATACCTGTCAGGAATAGTCTAGATAATACGTAGTCCTGCCATGAGTGCAGGGGACTAGATGACCTCTCAAGGTCCCTTTCAGTCCTACGATTCTATATCTTGATACAGAATTAACGATGTTAAGCAATATATTATATAATGACTTACATTGTTTAATCATTAACATTTCTGTTTTTCAAAATTATTTAAACACAACCTTAATGTCTTTTTATTTTTAACAATTCATATTAACTTCTTTGTGGTGGGAGGGGAACTGAATACTTTCTGATGTGGGGGAGTTAAAAATCTCAGGACAATAGAAAGAAATAAAAGCCATGGGGTCCCGGGGGGGAAGGGGAGAGAGTAAAATCATTGTTGGTCAGTGCCTCTGCAGTGCACTGACACTTAGATCGTGAAGCTGATTTTATCCCACTATATTTAATATAAGAACATGTCCCTTCTCTTTCCAGCTTGTATTGTGCGTCATTTTTATAGCTTTCCTAAAGAAGTATTCTTCAATATCATTGTCCCAATAGAAACTTTGAATTGCAGTCAGTAATGGGAAGCTCTATGATTGGTGAACAAGTTTACCTTAAAGTTATGGCACAAAGCATAAAACTTTGATATTGCAACTTCACTTAGTAAAACAGAGTGAGGTTTAGAACTGTGTTGGTGCCTGACTAACTTGAAGATTAGTGCTTTATTGATGAATAATATGGATTATGCCATAGACACTTGAAACATTTTAACTCTTTGGTCTTTGTTCATATCAATTTGTTATGATAGTAGAGATAATAGCATAGATCTAGATAATTTTCCCCATTTTCAGTCTTAGTACTTACTGCGTATGTACCAGGAGAGATTGCTGCTTGAACAGATGTCCATCATGTGTATCAGTAGGACAGACATTTAACATCATATTTGAGTAGGTGTTTGTTTTTTGCCTTAGGTCAAGCTTGTGCTGATATAAGTATAGCAAAGATTATATTGAAGTAGTAACCTTAGGAACTACTTCTATTCAAAAACAAGTAATGTAATGAGCCCCGAGAGAAGTTGTAGAGGAAGAGCAAAGTTGTGCTTATTCATTTTTACTGAGAAGTGCAGTTTAGCATACTTTTTCAGCTGTGATTCAGAAAGGCTTTCATTTAAAGGATTAGTGTGTTACATACACATTTTAAAAAAAAACACTATAGAAATAGTTTGCATAGAGCAAGGGTTCTCAAACTTTATGCACCGCGACCCCTTTCTGACAACAAAAATTACTACACGACCTCAGGACGGGGGACTGAAGCCTGAGCCCGCCCAAGCCCCACCGCCCCAGATGTGGGAGCCAAAGTCTGAGCCCCACCGCCCTAGGTGGAGAGGCCAAAGCCAAAGCCCAAGGGCTTCAGCCCCAGGCAGGGGGCCTGTAACCTGAGCCCCACTGCCCAGGGCGAAAGCCCTTGGGCTTCGGCCTCTGGCCCCAGCAAGTCTGTCAGCCGTGGTGACGCCATTAAAATGGGGTCACGGCCCATTTTGGGGTCCCAACCCACAGTTTAAGAACCTCTGGCATAGAGAAAACAGAGCCTCTGACTGCTTCTGCAGAAAGGTTAGGTGATCATGCTGCTGTTAGCAGAGAAAGGAACTGATTCTTGGCACTGTTTCTAGATGGGGACTTGAAAGGATATCACAGGCTCTACTCCCTTGCCTGCCAGGCATGGCTATGGAAGCAAGTGACCACTCCCTGTATCATTCCCAACTCCACTCTTTGTACCTCAGTTCTCTTCTTCCCAGTGAAGCTAGAACTATGGTATCAACCTGCCATCTTCAGTCTAGTTTCTTAAGCCTTGTGTAGACTAGAAAAAGTAATGAATATTTTGGGTTGGTTTTTTTTAATTAAATTGGGTTCCTTGAGTTAGTTAACTCCATTTGAAACATCATTTAAACTGCATCTATGCTAGGTGCTAACCTCTCTAAAATTATATTTGCTGATCAAAATCTAACATGATTTTAAAGATATTAAACTGCATATATGTTAGATGCTAAGTAATGTTTTAAATGGGGTTAAAAATTGATTTTACCCCTCACCCCCTTTACTCTAGATAAGGCCTTAGAGGAGTAAAACTTCCCCTGTCTGTTACTGCAGAAGCATTGTCAGCCCAGGCCTTTGCTAAGGTACTGTTTGCTCTTTCAGTGTTGCTTTTATCTGAAGAGAGTTTTGTCAGGACAGTATTCCCAAATCCTGACTTGAAACAGAAAGTAGATACATGAGCTGGAAACATTGAAAATACAATTTTCAAATCGTTTACTCAATCTATTAATAATAATAATAATTGGTGGGGGGAGGGGTCATGGTACATATGTTTCTGTTTAAATATAAAGAAGTCAGAATAGATATCTGCCCAATAAATGAAACTCCTCAATTTGTATGGGTGGATCGAGGAAGAGTTGTTAAATAACTTTATAAAGCACTGCAAGCATGCTTGGTGCTGAGGTCTGTAAAGTCTTTTGTAGTTTACAAAGTAGAAAATGCATATTTGAGAAGAAGAAAAAAAACTTAAATGGATGGTCACCTGATAGATCAGAATGGTTGTAAAAGTGATCTAGTCACAAATATCTGGATTTCTTGTCCTAGAAATTGCTTCACTTATACAAGTAAGAATATCAATAATCCAATTTGCAGAAATCTGTGTTTGAAGCCTGTTTTAAATTAGTCTTTCATCCTTGAAATCAGGGGATTGGAGCCATCCAGTACTAGTGTAAGATATGTACATCATGCTGGGAAATCCATCCTCATAGTGCCAAAGAGTAAAACAGAACAAGATCACAGACTTTCTTCTGTAGGGGGGAGGCTTATGGCAGCTAGAAAGTTGCTGACACTTCCCAGTGAATTAAACAGTGTTAATACCATTACTCATTGTTTGAAGCCATGCTGAAATCAGACTTCAGCTGTTGATAATCACTTCAGCCAAGAAGTCGATGTGTGTGACTGTTATTGATCCAGTGTTCTTAGAGATAAATATTTAAGATCTGATTTATCCTGCCTGCAGAAGTACTTTTGAGGGAATGAAATTCAGTGTTTGAGATGCCACAGCTATGTATGGACAAGCATTATCGGGGTTGTAATGAGGACACGTACATTTTGTGGTGTGTGCTCACCCAGCTGGAAAAACAAATGCTTTCTCTTGTTCAGCTAAGCTACATTCTATCTACCAATTTTAGCACATGCTACTTTTATAGAAACGTAATAGGATACTTTATCCCTGGAGCATATCACTTGTCTAATTTTCATTTTTTAAATAGATTTGGGGACACCGGAGAGGGAGGGATAAAATTAACTTCTTAATTTTTTTTAAAGAAATCAGTGTGCGTATGTTCATATACAGTGGACCTGATTCTCACTTAAGCTATGTCTAGACTATGGTTTATGATGGCATAACTTATGTCACTCAGGGGGATGAATAAAACACCCTCCTAAGCAACATAAGTTACACCAACATAAATGAAGTTATAACAGCCTAACTCCCAGTGTAGACAGTGCTATGTCGATGGGAGGGCTTCTCTCATCAACATAGTTACCGCCTCTCGTGGAGCTGGATTACCATCCTATGCCAATGGGAGAAGCCCTTCCATCAGCGTAGGTAGTGTCTTCACTGAAGTGCTACAGCGCCGCAGATGCATTGGTACAGCTATGCTGCTGCAGCCTTTTAAGCATAGCCAAGCCTTTATTTTAAAAAATGACCTGGGGAATTAGGAGCGTATGTCCCATTGACTTTCAGTGAGACTTAGGCTTATGAATTCTTAAGTCGCTTTTGAAAATGGAACTTGGGTTTCTAAATCACTTTGGGTAAAGTTTTCAAAAAATAACATATCTGTAAAGGAAAAATCATTTAAATTTTTTATATTACAAAGTCTAGAAATGTTTTCTTAAAAAGAGACTTATCTTTCTGCTTGTTTCTACTTTAGAAACTTCAGGAATATGAAGTCTTTTCACGATTCATGCAGGAAGCCTTAAGAAATTAAATGGAAGTTTTCTCAGTCTTCAGTTTGAAGAAGCAAGGTTCTGAGCTTTTCTTTCAAATCTTTGACAGAAGTTTGGGTTAGATAGGTATTAAATCAGATAAGCAAAAGTTTTAAATAGCTTACTAAAAATCCCTTCCCCTCTCAGTTGGATTTGAGAGCTAATGGGCTGATGTAAGGTTTTAAGTCCTCCAAAAAATCCTTCAGCAAAAACAGAAGACAAGATCTGATATTTTTTATATAAAACAAAAATCAAGGCTAGAGAGATTGTTTGGAGTAGGAGAAAATACATGGAGAAAATATTTTAGACTGCCTTTATAAATCGTAAGGAAATGAGGTAGGGAAAGAATATGGTTCTTTGCTTCTTTTAAATGAGGAGAGTCTGTACTGGATTTTTCACCTTTAAAAGTTGATCAAGTGCAGCTAATAATAAATTGGTATTATTTTTGTAAAAGTCAGAGCACAATTGATAAATCAAGTTGCGTCTTAATATTATTTATTTATTCTTTTATTTGCCCAGGTCACATTGAAGTTGTGAAATTACTTGTGACCCATGGAGCTGAAGTGACATGCAAAGACAAGAAATCATATACACCCCTACATGCTGCAGCATCTAGTGGAATGATCAGCGTAGTCAAATATCTTCTAGATCTTGGAGTTGATGTAAGTAAACATGTAGCCAAAGACAAATGACATAAGAAAAATCTAAACTATTACTGATCAGGAATATAGTGGCGCAGAGAATGCTCCTTTCTTCATGATCAAGAATAATGGTAGTAAGAGTACTTCACAAGGTCTTCACTCATTTATTTATTGATTACAGGACTTCACTTCCTAGGCTCAAGTTTCTTCTACAGATTTTCACTTAAGGGTAAACTTGTCCTTAAATGGTTTCATTATCTTCCAGGAGGGAAGGAATGATCCTATGTTTAAGGCACTAGACTGGGACTCGGGAGATTGGAGTTCTGTTGCTAGCTCTGATGTACACTTTTTCTGTGACCTTGAGGAAGTCACTTAATCTCTTGTTTCAGTTCCCCATCTGTAAAGTGGGGATAAAGCTTCCTTATCTCACAGGAGTTTTGAGGGTAAATCATTAACGATTGTGAAGTACTCTGATACTACACTAATGATGGTCATATAAGTACCTAGTTATAAAAATGTGTTAACAAAAATAGTCAGTATTTTTTAGATGATAAAAAGAAATTTATTAAACTGAATTGTAAGCCTATTGGAGTTTCACCTTTTGAGTCATCTTGCAATCTAGCACAGAGTGGCCATTGCTTCTGAAGTTGTAGTTTGAAAACTATGATGTTTCTTTATATGTAACTTGGAGCTCAATTTGCACATTAATGCAGTATTAGCTTCTCATATCTTAGGGGCTAAGACAAATATTTCCAAACTTAGGTGCCTAAAATCCATATTTAGGCACCTTAATATGTGGCCTGATTTTCAGAAGTATTTGGCACCCAAAATTCCTATTAAATTCAGTAGGCCCCGCAGACATTCAGTACCATGGAACAACAGGCCACTTATTTAGATGACTAGATCTAGGCACCTAAGTATCTACATTTAATTACTCCTGCGGGGGGGGATTCTGTGCCCCAATATTAAAAATTCTGCACGCAGTATTTTTAAATTCTGCATATTTGACAAAATAACACTCTCACACCAGTTTGTTATTTTGGTAATTTATTTCAAAATAGTATTTTTGAAATACAGGAGGTCCTGCTGTTGGCAGATGGGCTCCGGCTGTCACATTCTGCGTGAAAAAATAAAATTCTGTGAGGAACATTAATTCTGCGCAAATTCTGCATCGTGCAATGGTGCAGAATTCCAGCAGGAGTAAAATTTAGTTTTAAGTCCCTAATGTTCATTTTGGGATAGCAGTTCTGCTGTTTTAACTACTCAACCATTCTCTGTGAGGTTCTTGTTGTCCATTAAAAGGGATCTGAAAAAACAATTTGCAAAAGATAAAAAAACATTCTTCACTTTTAACTGGAGTTGTCGGAGCATGTTGCCTCTGCAGACCAACACTCACCCACTTTTCTGCTTTGTTTTTCTAGATTATTACTATGTATTTGGAACTGGCAGTAAGGAATTGAGGGAGGTGGAGTCACTGGAATTTGTCTATCAGTAATGTAATAACTTTTGAACACTGCATCCACTCAATTCCAAAATTTCAGGGAATGTTTTAGGCATCAGTGAACAAACCCTATTGATTTTGGTGAAAATTGGGGGAAGAGGGGAAGAGGGAAATGGGGGCACCTGGAGCCCTTTCCATTCATCTAGCACACCCAGGAGCTTTAGCCACTTCTGTAGTTGTCTATTGATTAAAGAACTGATTGCCATTAACATATTCCAGCATAATGTATGGACATGGGGCATTCACAGAGCCCTGGCATGGGAGATGAATTGGTGGCACACAGAACCCTTGGTGGGCTTGGGAGAGACTGGATGACCCTGGCAGTGGGGAGAATGAGGGACCTTGGTATGAGAGAAAGTGATGCATAGAGATGCACACAGAGACCCTGGCATGTGGCAGAAGAGTGAATGTGGAGAAGAAACGATGAGGGCACACCGCCACTAGCATGAGAGGTAGGTTGCAGAGAGCCCCTGAAATAGAAGGGGATGGCAGTGTGGCACACAGGCATCTTGAGGAGGGGCTAAGGAATGCAAGGAGACTCTGTTGCTTGCAATGGGGTGTGCCTACAAAAGCAAGGAAGTGTGAGACCCTCCAGTATACAATCTTGATGTTTAGATCAAGGGAAGGGTGTGTACTTGCCATCAATGTCTCTGCATTATAGGAGCTTTTGGGGCTCATAGAATCAAGGTACATGATCCCAACAATGTGGATCTGCTGTGGTAATAAACTTGGAGAATTCTATTTACAAGTGGCAGAATACCTTCATTTCACACAACTATTCCTTTCACACTACAAAACACTTATTATCTCCTCTCAGAGAGGTTAAAAAGTATTCCATTCTAAAGTTTTTTGGTCAAGGAAATCCAGTCCAGAACACATTTAATGTTTTGTGGTATTCCAGAATGCAATGAAGACATCCTGTATAACAACAAAAGATGTTCTGTTGTACTTAGTTAAATACTGTTGCATGATGGCATAAAAGAAGTTTGGTAGAATTTCACAGTATCTTAACTAATCGTCTTGTTTTTTCCCATCAGATGAATGAACCAAATGCCTACGGAAATACACCTCTTCATGTAGCTTGCTACAATGGACAAGATGTTGTAGTAAATGAACTTATAGACTGTGGTGCTAATGTAAATCAGATGAATGAGAAAGGTTTTACACCTTTGCACTTTGCTGCTGCATCAACACATGGAGCATTGTGTTTAGAACTTTTGGTCTGTAATGGAGCAGATGTAAATATGAAGGTAAGGAAATGAATCTAAAGGTGGATTCAACAAGTTGTAACAGACAATACATCTGTCTTTATATCAGATACAATATTTTAAATTACAAGGTTTAATATATTTTTATTACAATAGTACCTATATGCCCGTGTCAGGATTGTGGAACCTTGTTGTGCTAGGGGTTCTACAGACGAGTGTATGACCGTCCTTGCCACCAAAGAACTTACAATCGAATTTAAGATGAAACACAAACAGTGGATATACAATCTGAAGGAATAAGGGAGGAAAGATGAGGGAGACAATGAAAGAACATGCATTTAGGTGGGCCCACTAAATAAGATAATTGTCAGAAATCCGTATTGGCCATTATCTGTTAGAAGTATCCCATATGCATAACAGTAAAAGCGGATTTTGAGAAGAAATTTTAAAGAGGTTAGTAGTTTTAGAAGTTATTTCTGAGAGTACTCCATAAATAAGAACCAGTGTGGAAGAAATCACACAAGTGTTTGTGGGAGAAATATACACAGGCAAACGAGGCTGGCATCATTAGTAGAACGGTGAAGGGCAACAGAAGATTCTAGAGTCAATAAATAGGGAGGGGTTGAGTTGTGAAGGGCCTTAAAGGTAAGGAGCCAAAGCTTGTACTTGATGGAGACCTAGCCAGTAGGAGGACTCAGATTGCTGGCTGACATGGTCAGCATATTAGTGGCCCTAAATGGACTGAGAGAAAAAATGTACTCCTGGCCATAATTCTATGGCTGTAGGACTTGCCATAGAATCCACCTCTGTTGCAGAATTTAATATTTCCTTTGACTTATAAAATTTAAATTTCTAAGCCTTATGGTTGAAAAATAAGTTTGAATATAGAAAAATGCTGTGAGGTCTTCCTAAGTCTGCAAACTAAGAGCCTGAAACAGCTAACTATTTTAGCGTGAGGCTCACTCAAGTCTGATGATGACAGTTGTCCTCATAAACATTCAGGTAACGTGCCTGTCCATTGTTGTTGATGTGTGGCTGGCTATTGAGGTAGAGACAAAGGGAAATCGGTTTTTTTATGGAACTAAGAGTCCAAAACCCTTCCCCTCCCCCCTTTTCCTTCCCCCCTCCCTCCAAAAAAAGAAATCTGGTTATTTCTGCTCCTGCCCACAAATGTCAGGAATTGAAGAGATACATCCCGCCAAAAACAGCAACTACCTCCAAAATCCTGGGCTGCCTCCCGTGCCTTTCCAGATATCAAAAGCGCTAATTGGTCCCATTCCTTGCTACCAAAATGCCTAGCATGAGGACTAAGGGGAGCAGGTTCTATGGAGAAGCAAGAAGTGGCTTATTGATAGATATGCCAAAGGTCTTCACAGTTAGCTACAGCCCCTGATGTCTGGGGCAGAGGACATCTGATCCACATAAGTTTCTAGATTTATTTTAAATAAATGAGGTTAACAAAAGCAATAAAAATAAATTGTATGAACAAATTATATTAAAATAATGTGGGAAGCCAGCAAATCCTGGTCAGCTTTCAGCCCCAAGAATAACCTGGCACACTCAATCTCAAAGCCAACTGATAATTATATTCCAGCCAAGGGGGTGATATAGGAAGGGTCAGAACATTCCCAGGTTGAAAACCAATATTTAGACTACAACTCTGATGCCCAATATCTTTCTTTCCACCCTCCTAAACATAGGGTTCATCTTTGAGTGATAGTCCCTATTGTATTCCACTGGGGGTTTACGCATGTGCACCATGCACCCAGAGTCAGAGAGTTTGAAAGTAGCGTCTGTTAGTCTTTGCATGCACCTTGACTCGCCTTGTGCTTCCGTCCGAGGCAATAAATGGCGGGAAGGACCGACTGCATCTCCAGTTCCTTCTCACAGCTGAAGATCTGGGTCGGAACCTTCATCGTCCTTGTCTGATGCAGTTGTAAAAAGCATAGTTGTAAATAGTTTTAACAGTAGTTTTACTAGTTTTATTTCTTTCTTGGTTTTAGTAATTAATAGTTTTAATGTTAGTTTAGAGTAGACTTTAGGGACTTCTCTGCTGCCCCGTGTGGGTACTGGATTATGCCCAGAGCTCCAGGGTACAAACTCTGCGCCTCCTGCATGCGATCCTTATCGATCAGCGGTGACCACCAACACTGCCTCTACTGCCTGGGAGAAGCTCACATCATGACTAATTCAGCGAGGAGTGAGCCTCCCACTACTATGTCCGATTCCAGTGTCAGCAGAACCACCCCTGCTGACCCGATAGCGGGGTTTATTTGGGAGATTAGGATGCAGTCCCATAACCATGGGACTAAATCTTTCTCAAAATCCAAGGAAATCAACATTCCCTCCACCAGCTCGGCCCCAGGGGATGGAATGCATTCCAAGTCCCACAGGCACAAGAAGATGACCCATAAACAATGGGATCCAGCAGATCCAAGCAATGAACCGTTGGTACCGCCATCTCCAGCACTCCAAAAACACAAGACTCTTCTGTGCCGGGGAAGATCTCAGCGCTGGTACCAATGACTGGAAAAGAGAGGGTGCCCCTCACACCAAGGAGATCCGGATCCGTGGCTGCATCCCAGAACATTTTTGCTTTGCCGGATCCATTTGTGGGGAAGGGTATATATGAGCTTACAAGAGAAGTTTAAGGGCCTTTTTACACTGGTATAAATGCAGTGTAATTGCATTAAAATTAATGGAGTTATTATGGGTTTATATTAATGTAACTAAGATTGGTATTTCTCTCCTGCTTTGCCGGTGGTTATTTAATTAAAATGGGAATTCTCTTCTTTTTTTTTTGTTTTTGTTTAGATACACTTTTGCAGGGAAGGAAGGAGATTGACTTAGTAGTAGCTTTACTTTGCAGAGGTGGTTGTAGTAGTGTGAACTTTTCAGTAATAGAGTATTCCAGCTCTGCTCAGTCAGTTCTGGTTTTCAAATATTGAGTAGGATGGTTGTTCCCTGGTTTAGGGCCAAATACTGACTTTAGATTCCTTGCTTTCCCTAAGGATTATTCCTTTAGTTAAAATAGTAGAATTTTATAGTGTTGTGGTTTTTTCTTCTTTAGACTACTCTTATTCAGTAGAGTTTATTGTAAAACTTTTCAGCAATATGTATAGAGGATTTCAGCTGTGCTCAATTTTTTATTTTCAAATATAATCTTGATTTTTGGCTTTTAATGCTAAAGTTCAAAATATTTGTAGTTTTTGGCAACTGTCATAAAAATACAATATTCTATTTATAATCACAAATATCTTACTTTGTAAGTTTAGATATCTACTATAATTCTCTCCGCTGTTACCTACTTCCATGATTTTTAGAGATGTAGAGGGGGCATAGGTGGGTATCTGAGATAGGAGGAGGATGCATGTGTGCGTATGCTGTGGACCTTGATGAGTGGGTGTTCTGGAGACTCTGAAATGTCCACTCCAGAGTCTTGTTGGCTTCACCTCTGGGAAGAAAGCATACAACAGATTAGTAAGCAGCAGAAATTTTAGACTTTTGATATGTTTCCCCCTTCATCTGTTTTCCACGGGAGGGGGAAAATATAGGCTGTTTTGGCAGGTACAAAATTGTCAATATCCATATAGTAATTTAGATCTTTAAAGCCTAGTGACTACTGCTCAACACTATTCCTTTCCTGCAACATCCAGTCTAAAAAGAGTATAGCAAACTCAAATAATGATTTTGCACATGTAGAAGTATATTATGGGATGTATTAATTGTATTTGAACTAGTATCAGCTGGATTCTTGAAAAGAAATGGTCTCAGTGGTCTGAGTAGACTTGATATATCTAATTTTAAGTGAAACCATGTTTAGGCATGTATGGTTGACCACTTGAGACTACATGATGTTCTGGGCTTTTTTTTGCTGTGTAATAACAGTGGCTTCTCCTAGAGATTTGTGTTTTTGGAAAATAAGTATTTTATAGACATATATTGCCTGATAGTACATTATACAAGAGACCTGTGTTTTAATCTTCTGTTATCTCACTTCATTGAGCTTCAGTGAATGTAACCAAATAACCATTAGCCTACAGCTATTTTACCATAGGCTATGATCATGTCAGATCTCATATGCTTAGCAAGGGGAGGCTTGATCAGTACTTAGATGGAAGACTTCCAAGGAAGAAAGGAAATATTTGAAAGGCTCATATTTTTGGTGCAGTGGACTGATGCTGCTGTTCATTGCCTAAGGAATCTGTTCTGTGTATACTTCTTCCCAACTTATTTATTTTAAAATACTTAAAAAAGAAAAAAAAAAAAAAAAAAAAAAAAACACTCATGAAGGAAATAGTATATTCCTGAAATCTTACCTGTATGTTCTGGTTCTGAATTGAATTGCACACCATCAAGATATTTAGTGGGGAAGTTCCCACAGCAAGTTTAACTTTGTCCCCTTGCAATAGGGAATTTTGTGTTCATTCTACTGTATGCCGTTAATTAACATGTTGTGTATGTGCACCTAAGGGAATAGAAAATGGTATAGTTTTTATATGGTAATATGATGGTTGCAATTTAGTGTCACATTGCCTAGTATTGTGTGTGTGTGTGTGTGTGTGTGTGTGTGTAACATTTTTTGTGTGCATTTAGATTTTTCATTAACCTATAATGAGCTAACTATGGACTAAATTTCATAGGAGAGACCGTTTATGAATATATTTAGATAGTGCTGTTAAAAACTAGAATCCCCTCCTGTGTTAAAGTTGACCTAATTTCAGGGTACCTTTTCTGGGTGAGTGGTTAATTGTACTTTTCATATGTGTGTCAAATGTACAGTATCCTCTATGGTTGAATAGTTTACCTTAAGGATTACTTGTGGTTTGTGATGAATTACTTATGAGTTTCATTTTGAAGTAACATCAAAGAAACAGATGAATATTTTAATGTCAGTCTTCTAACATATTTTGTAATGTTCTGTAATAAGGTTCTCTTATTCAGTCTGAATACAAGTCAGTTCTTTAAAAGAACCTCTTTTTTTTGGCTTTAGATTTAGGGAAGAAGTAAATGTAGTTCTTGGTGCTAAGATTATCTGCTGCCACTATCATCTTGATTGTCCTAGAGGCATAATTCTGAGTGAGTGTGCATCATTGAGTTGTCAGATAGAGCTGGAGAAGGGATTAACAAGAACAGGATAACAGCAGTGTTGAATAGCCTGCAGTGTCATCCTGGTTTGTTACTACCAGCAACTGTTTTTTATAGTAGTGTGGAGAGGGAATTGAAGGGGTTGGTGGAAAAGGATCACTTCTCCGTGGTGATTTTGGTATATAAATATAGCTGGCTGTGAGTTGATGTTTTTTATTTTTGTTTGTTTTATTTCCAGAGTAAAGATGGGAAAACACCATTGCATATGACAGCAATCCATGGTAGATTTTCAAGATCACAAACCATCATCCAGAATGGTAAAAAGAAAAAAAGTATTTGTGTATATATATTGAAATGTTAATGACATTTTCACATTCTTGTTTTGCTATGGCCAGTATTTCAGTTAGTGAGGTTTTTATACTCTGATGAGATGCATATAGACTCTACACATCTATATCTTCACTTTAAAGATGGAAAAGCAAGGGTATTTGTATTATTGTCCCTTTTCTACAGCATTGAGTTACAGAAACAATTTGCCCTCTACAGTAATGGTTCTCAAACTTTTGTACTGGTGACCCCTTTCACACAGTTAGCCTCTGTGTGCAACCCCACCCCTTTATAAATTAAAAATACTTTTTAAATATTTAACACTATTATAAATGCTGGAGGCGTAGCAGGGCTTGGGGGTGGAGGCTGACAGCTTGCAACCCCCCACATAGTAACCTCGCAACCCCCTGAGGGGTTACGACCCCCAGTTTGAGAACCCCTGCTCTACAGATACATGACAAGAGACCTGCATTTACTTGCTGTCCGTTATACTCCTGCTGGAATTCTGCACCACTGCAGAATGCAGAATTTGCATAGAAGTAATGTTCCCTGCAGAATTTTATTTTTTCACACAGAATTTGAGATTTCCACCAAAATGCTTCCTTTTTCCCGTTTTGTGTGTTTCAAATGTATTACAATGGAACCACGAGTATCCAGTCTAATTGGGACCAGAGCCAGATTGGATAATCAAACATCCAGATAAACTGGAGAGTGGGCAGGGTTGCCACCCATCTGGGTTTTACCCAGACAGTCCGGTTTTTGGCTTCTCTGTCCAAGTGCCATTTAGGGTTGCCAGGTGCCTGGTTTTTGACCAGAAAGTCCAGTCTAAAAGGGGACCTGGCAACCCTCGGGCACCCAAACCAAAAGTCTGGTTACTGTGGGGTGGAGGGTGCGGGGGGTTGTGCTGAGCAAGTGATGTGCGGGGCCTCGAGGGAATAGGTGTAGCAGGGGCAGGGCCTGGGAAGGGGGGCCTCAGGAGTCCAGTTATTAGCAATTAGAAAGGTGGCAACCCTAACCAAAAGTCTGGTTATCATGGGCTGGGGTGAGACTCCAGATTATTAACCCATGCCAGCCCCTGGTCTGTTGGGGCTGCCTGTTATGTACAGGCAGACTCCCTGAGACGATTTCGTGAGCAATGGGGGTGAGGCCTTGGAGGGAGGAGGTGTGAGCAATGGAGGCAGGGCTCGGGAGTCTGGTTACCAGCAGCTAGAAAGGTGGCAAACCCTAGTGGCGGGTGATCCAGGTGTCAGCCCTTAGCGGCTGGTGGTTTGGTTAATAAAGAGAGCCAGATAATGGAGGTTAAACAAGGTTCTGTTGTATTTAATTTCACTGAAACAAGATAACTATCAACAAAAATACCTCAAATTCTGTATTAATATGCCTATAAGGAATCTGTTTGTCAAAAAACATTTTCTGAATCTTTTTGGTTGTCTGTATTGTTTCAGACATACTTTCTGGCAGGTATTTTGAAATAAATTACCAAAGTAATTGAAACTGGCGTGATTATATAGTGTTATTTTGACAAATAAAAATTTGCAGAATTTTAAAATATTGTGCACAAAATTTTTAATTTTTTGGCGCAAAATTCCCTAGGAGTACCATTAGTACTCAGTACCACTAAAACATTTTAAATTTTTAAACCAAAAAACCACTCACTCTCGTTACTTGTACTTTCGTAAGTTTAATCTTTAACACCATTTTGCTAACAAACATATGTTCATGTACCGTTTATGTGCGTTCACACTAACTTTTATATTGTAGGAGCTGAAATAGACTGTGAAGATAGGAATGGAAATACTCCTTTGCACATCGCAGCTAGATATGGTCATGAGCTACTAATCAACACTCTAATTACAAGTGGTGCTGACACTGCAAAGTAAGTAACTAACTTGGATATAGGCTAAAATAGTTCAGAAATGCATTAATTAGAAAGCCAGAGTAGTGTATTGTTTCACATTACTTTCTTAGCTCTTTAAATGTTCTGAGATTAGAAATGCATTCAGTCATATTCTTTGCAGATACTGTATCTTGTTATAGTGTCACATCTCATTGTAGTTTAAACAAAAATCAGAAAAGAAATAGTGGACTGTGTTGCCAACTTGTACTTCAATATAATAGTTGAAATATGCAAACCAAAACCTCATACATTTTAACTGACTGTCACTCTGAATGCATTATTTTTAGATTGAAAGTAAGCTTCTTAACATATTAAGAGATTTCCTCAGATCTAATCATTCTAATTAGATTTTGTTGGTGAAACCCTATACATGTGCAATTTAGCATGCAGTCTTGATTCTTTTATTGTAATGAGACTATGATGTATCTTAGGAGAGGTGTACATGGGATGTTTCCTCTCCATTTGGCAGCATTAAGTGGATTTTCAGACTGTTGCAGAAAGCTGCTTTCATCAGGTAGGATACTCTTTTAAAAATGTGTTGTGGTTACTACATATACATTAACCTTTTAGTATTTTCAGTTATATTTCACAATATTTAAGCCCTTTTTCAATAGTACATAGAAATAATCAGTTAGCTTGTTTATAGCTGAGGATTGTGCTGGCTAGTCTGAGCTACCTTGCATAGTTAAAGATGGAGCAAGCTTTCTGTGGTAAGCCTAAATTTGAAAACTTGTAAAACTTTGCCAGAACTGAAGCAATATGCCTGAAATTTCAAAAGTGTGGTCTTGTGCACATATTTTCTGGAGGGATTGAGACAAACTAGACAAGTAGTTTAGGAACTATAGTGGTTCAAAACATGAGGTGATGATATCACTTTAACATCTTCTTAACTTGTCCCTCGAACTCCAAATTGTCATGATTCCAGTACAACTTTGCCTAGAACAGTGGTGTTCAACCTGTGGCTCTACAGGCTCTAACCTCTAGGCCCTGAGGGCAACTGCATTAAGAAGAATGTGTTTGATTATGAATTAAAAACATGTTCCCTGAGCAGCACTCTGCGACTTTCAAACTAAAGTGTTTAATCAGCCCCCTCACTATGAAGAAACAGTACAGGGTATTGCTTCACCTGTGACCCCAGGATCAGCTCTGCTGTGAGCTGGGATTATGCTGAACAGTATCAGTCCCTTTTCAGCTGAATACCTACTGCATGGCAAGGAAGGGAAGACATACTAATTTTGGCTGCTCCATAGTCTGCTTCCCTGATGAGATATGGAAGCTCCAGGGGGCTCAAAAGGGAAGCTTGACTGTCTCTGTCTTGAGCCTAGGAGAGTGATTAGCAAAAGGAGGGCTCCCTTCCACACCACAGGGAAGTAGGGAAGCCCAGGAGAAGGGGGAAAAGGAAGAGATTCTGAGGAACTATCATTTAGGCTTCTTGATTCTCTTCTACAGCACCGGTTAGAGCATCTTGCTGTAATTTGCACCAGCTGACAACTGTCTGTTAGGTACCATGTGACAGCTGGAGGATAGGCAAAGCTCAGCATGCTCCAGCCACTTCCCCTTTCTGTCACAGTGCAAAGTTGTACTAGATGTGCACCTACAGGAGACTTCTCCGTGTCAAGGTAATCTCCATCAGAGGATTTGCAGATGATTTCCATTGTGTATGTTAATTGCACAAAGGGATGTGGACCAGCACACACAATCTAAAGCATCAGTCATGGTCACTTGACCATTTAAAAATTTTATATGTGCAGCACTCAGTCTGAAAAGATTGGACACCAGTAACCTAGAAACTCCTTTTTAATAAGTTGTTGTTGGTGAAGATTGATATCTTTGACTAGTGTATTTTTTGTGGGGAGGGAGGTGAAATTAGTTGATTCATATATTAAGAACCCTTCTGGAATCTGAATTCGTCCACCACAGGGATGCAAACCTTGCAAAGTCCGTTTGTCCCTATATGGATGACCATTTTGGAGACAGTGATGTCAGGCAAGGTATTAGTGTGACGAGATGGATTGTTCAGTGAACAGAACTGAGAAATACTTTGTACTTTGGGTGAAGCCTCCTAGGGAGTTAATGGGAGGGAGAGTGCAAAATAGGGGCAATGGAGAGGCAGCCCATATTAGTAATCTAGAGACCACTTCTCAGATCAGATCACTAACTAGCTTTATGTGTCCTCTCCATGCGAGATGGGACACATATGTAGGGTCCATCCAGTTTGGGCTGAAGAAAGAGGGGAAGCATAGTGTGGGGGAAAATTTGGGGAGAACTGGAATTCATCCCTGTGTAGTTCACTAATTCCGGTCACTAAGAAATTCTTAAATTAAGGAAAAAATTTGTTTCAATATTTACTATTGTAAATAACATAAACTTACTTGATGGCATTACAGCCTAATTACTGAAGGGCAGTTTGGTGAAGGGGTTGAATTACATATATGGTTTCACAGTATACTAACTTATTTTTGTAGGCTTTGACATAGACACCCCAGATGATTTTGGCAGGACCTGCCTTCATGCAGCTGCAGCTGGAGGGTAGGTAGAAGCTCTGCCTTCACTTTTAATTTTTTTTCTTAAATCATTGATCCTGACATTTCCTCCTTTTTCCCCCAAGGAGCTTTGTAAGTGTGAACATAATTTCAAGATGGCTTCTTTCTACAAGCTTTAAAAAGGCATAAACTGCAATTTCTACTCAGTCATCAATCTTTTATTGTAATGACCAAACGCAATCAGTTATTCCTGGGGGAATTCCGCATCAGTGCGCATGCGTAGAATTCATGTACCCCGCAGATTTCTTTGCTTCCCCACAGAAAAATGACTTCTAATGGGGAAACAAAGGGAAGCCGCAAGAGTGGTCACACGCCCCTCCCTGGCAGTGTACGCAGGTTGGTTCTGGTGCTTGGAGCAGCCAGTAGAGATGTAAATCACCTGGGGGATGGGCAGGGGTGTGTGAGAGTGAGTGAGTGAGACAGACACTCTGTCCGTCTTGCTCCCTATTGCAGCATGTTCAGCGTGGAGGGGCAGGGCTTTGGGATGTTTCTGAGGAGGTAGGCGTGGGACAGGCTCTGTCCCTTCAGGCAGAGCAGAATGCAGCAGCCTGCCTGCTTAGTGAATTGTTCCCATTGTCTTTGTGAATTCCCCCAGGAGTATAAAACAGGTGTAAAAGTTTTAAGGCTCCTTTACATTGCCAGAGTGGTATAAAGGACAGTATGTCCTTATAAATGCTTATGTTGCTTTCGTGATTAGAACGGGTCTAACTTTTTGGACTGAAAGAATTTCCTATCAAAATGTGCTCCATGAACTGTTTGCTAATTCCTTTTCTGGAGATGGTCAGTAGCCAATATAAATTGTGAGGTTTGATTTCCCCAGTCCTCACTTGCTCTTCAGTTGCCTGATGTAACACTGAGCATATGGCTTTATATATTTGTTGACTATTAGGAAAGGGGGTTTGGGGATTTCCTCCAATGCTCCCGCTTCCATTCTCCATCCATTATCTTGTAGTTTAAATAAATTACGGAAATAATTGAAACCAAAGTGATTATATTGCATTATTTTGATAAATAAAATATGCAGAATTTTAAAATATTGTGTGCAGAATTTTAATTTTTTTGGTGAAGAATTCCCCCAGGAGTAATCAGTGTTTATCCCAGGTTCAGGATTGGCTCAGAATGGATTAATTTTACTTGCATGTTTTACTACTTATCGAAAGTACAGACCATGTTATTTAGGGCAATCTGTTACCAGGGCCCTATGTTAGGAGCACTTCAGAGACACATGGTGAAGGGGTACAGTGCCACCACCTCACCTGCTTTCTTTCACTTATCCCCTTTCCATCAAGTTGCTCACAGTGGGGCATAGGGGCTGTAATTCTGGCCAGCCCTTTGAAATAGGCTATGCAGAGTTGGGGGAGGGCTCCGTACTGCCTTTCCCCAGGCACAGTTATGTATGAGCTAGATACAACTTTACTTTCTGTGAGTGTATATCTTTATAGTATATGCTATTCATTGTATTTATAAACATCTGGATATTAGATTACTTTTTTCAACAAATGCAGGGGGCTAACTTATTTTTGATTATTCACGAAGAAAAAATGTTTTAAATGTTTTTACCAGCATGTGAGGGAAGCTGAGGATAGCATAAATGTGCACACAGACAGTATCAGGGGGTAGCCGTGTTAGTCTGTATCTACAAAAACAACAAGGAGTCCGGTAGCACCTTAAAGACTAACAGATTTATTTGGACATAAGCTTCCGTGTATAAAAAACCATGCATCTGAAGAAATGAGGTTTTTTACCCACGAAAGCTTATGCCCAAATAAATCTGTTAGTCTTTAAGGTGCCACCGGACTCCTTGTTGTTTTCACACAGACAGTAAGAGCCTGGGAAACCTGTATGTTTAGCATATCCCTGCACATAGATTTGTCAACAGTAAAGCTAAATTTTCATGCAGTGCCAACTGGAGTTCAGTTAACCAGAAGCAAGGACATTTTGATCAATAGTGCTCATGGATGGATTGTGATGTGAAGAATTCAGACCATAGAAAACTAGTATTTGACTAGCGTTGTTTCTCTAGGTGGGTATCTTAAGGAGTGCATGTAAACATATAGGCCTTGATTCCGCAGACACTTCATGCATGTGACTAAAGCACAATATTAGTCCCATTAACTTTGAGGCCGCCCATTAATAAAGCCAAACATGTGCACAAGTATTGGGAGGATCAGTTTATTAGTTACTATAAAATTAGTGTACAGAGTAGCTATTCAACATTGCCTAGAAAAATTGGGCAATAGATTGTTGTACATGCTCAAGTGCACACAGCTTTCAAGAAATCAGAGGTCCAGTGCTGCATAGTCATATAATAAAACCAAGGGTACTTTTTATGGGGGGTTTTTTTGGTGGCTGTTTACTGGTAGAGCCCTGCAAATTGGTGGATATCTGCAGATGCAGATTTCCATGAACCATTTTTGCGATCATGAGTGGAGTAGATGCACATTTTATATCTAAAGCCCAGCAAATCTGCAGATATCCTGCGTATCGTTTTTGCAGATACAATTTTTTTTTATCCGCGTAGGGCTCTATTTACTGATATAAAATATCCTTGGAATAAAAATTACTCACTTGTGATGTTATCTCACTCTCATCCTCACATTTAGGCTTCATATCATAATCTTAGTAATTTTCCTCTCTCTCTGAACAATGTTTACAGCTATCGCCATAAATAGTTTTTTTAGATAGTGTTCTTCATAATGCAGTATCAAAGATAGCATATGCATTGCAAACTTTGTTTTTCCTGGCACTTATTAAAAGGCTTTAAAACAAACAAAAATGTATAAGTAAAAACTTGCCACGGGCTGAATCTTGGCAAAAAAACTCTTAGCATGTATTCATTTTTTCTGTTACGTTTCCATCAAATTAGAAGTGTATTTACTACTTTAGGACAATGCTCTTGTTGATTTCAAAAGGCACACTGCATAAACATCAACATTCCTACATTTGGACCAAGGACAGTTTATGGTCCTTAATATTTTCTTCAATAACTTTAAAGTCTGTTTTTGGTGGTGTTTTGTATGCAAAATATAGTTTGACTCATTATCAGTAAAAAATATTGTTGTGTGATAAATAACTGTGCAGCAATTACGATAGTTTGTAAAGGGCACTGTGTGCTTGAAAATAATTTAATTTGCAATCAATGTTGCATTAATTTAATAGGAATTTGGAGTGCCTAAACCTTCTGCTCAACACTGGTGCAGACTTCAACAAAAAGGACAAATTTGGGAGGTAGGACACAACATTCTAAGTTTGTGGATTTTAGAACTTTATTAAAACATGCACATAAGTAGCACAATGATTCTGTGTGAAGGAGCCCATATTCCTTCACAATACATTCCTTTTGGAGTGATTGTATTCATAATAAATTGTTGGAACCCTATCCAAGTACTACAGCCAATTTAGTCTAAGCATCTTATTGAAAGTTTATAATTATAGAAAAGTCACAAGATTTGCTTTGTTACATTCTGTTACATAGTTGTTTTGTGTATTTTTTTCTTTCAAATTGTCCAATTGATCTCATATGTTACTGTAACTTTAATAAAGATGTTTTTGGTGGAAGGTGCATCCTGATGGGTTGAAATGGCTCTCAACCTGTAGATTTACTGGTATCTCCTCATTAGCCCACCTGTCAAGGCTATAAATGCTCTTCATCAACCTGTTCGCTTTGCCATTTCTGAACATTTTGCAATCTTCTGTATTTTTTAAAGGAAAATCTAAATTCTTTTAATAAAATAACTTTCCTTTTTACCTCCATCCATCCCTTCTTCATATAGCTTTCTCTCGCTTTGGTCTCACTCATGCTTTTACTTTCTTCAAATAACTATTGCTAGCGCCAGATTGTTATTTAAGTGCAGACAGTGTGGTTAGTGCTTATGCAAGATACTAATTAAAGACAGCCAAAGAGATTACAGTCAGAAAGACTGACAACTAAGAAGAGATACTCTGGAAGAACCAGAGGCAAGAATTTATGATAATTTAAAAATATTGTTTGTAGCATCAATGGTTTAGTGGAAATGGTCCCTCAGTCCTTGGTTGAGTGACAGGAGTAGGACTCCAGCAGAAGTATCTGACTATGAATCGTGTCTCCTTTTGAAGTCCTACTTGCACCCTTGGCTGAGGATAGAAGGGTTAATTGTAGTACTTTTCCCTGTGGAAGCTGCACTTAAATTTTTGTTGGGCTGCTGATTATATTTGGACCAGGAATGAGATTATTAGATGTTCTTATTTATCGTGGAGAGATGAAGAAAAGATCTGTGGGGAAAATGATTTAAAAAAAAAAAAAGGTATGACAGGTAGGGAGGAGATAAAGGGGATCAGAGTAGTGTAATAACTTTAAAAAAACAAGATGTAGGGCAAAATTTTCAAAGCACCTAAGTCCCTTGTCAACAGTGACTTAGGGCTGGTCTACATTGTGGGGGGCGGGGGTTTGACGTAAGATACGCAACTTCAGCTACGCTAATAGCGTAGCTGAAGTCGACGTATCTTATTTCGACTTACCTCGGGTCCTCGCGGCGCGGAATCGATGGCCGCGGCTCCCCTGTCGGCGGGTAGTCTGGACGTACCCTTAGGCTACTAAGTCACTTTTGAAAATGGAACTGAGGGCATGTCTACACTGCCCTGAAGTTTGGACTAAAAAGTAGTGGTGTGCACTGATACTGAAAGTGCCGCTAACTCTCCCATGTGGATGCTGCAGACATGAACTTAAAGATCCAAAGTTCACACTCTTTGAAGAAGTCTGTTAGTGCAAACTTGGAACCTTTGAATTCGTGTCCACATGGGGAACTGTGGTGCACACTGCTATTCACAATCCCTCTGTCCAAATTGCGGGGCAGTGTAAACATGCCCTTAGACCCCTCAGTCACTTGGGGTAAAATTTTCAGAAGCACCTAAGTCATTGACTTCTGAAAATTGTTTATATACTATATTATGTTTGGTAAGGGTTTTTCCCCCTAGACTGAGTAATTCATCAATACTATATTTTCATATGAAATTCAAATTTCAAGTTTCTTTAAAATCAAATGCATATTTTAAAAAATCATTTGTTTTATTTTCTAAACAAGCATATATTTTTGGTACATTAAGACAGGATAAAACAAATAGACACTCTGTAGGACTCCACATTAGACCTCAGTTCTGTCCTCAAAACCCTACTGAGCACTCCACACAAAACTACTTTAGATGTTCTGCAGGAAGGGTTAAATTTCACCCTAAATAAACAGTTGAATTTTGTTCTGGTCTTTCTTGGTGGTTTTGCACTATGGATGATCAGATTTGCTCATGTTTTGTCAGTGAATGGCCTAAAATTAAGTTGGTGGAACAAACAGATGTTTCAATAATTCTTTCTTTCATTTTCCTGTGCATGTATGTATACCTCTCAACACACACAAGCTGTCCATGTATTGGCTGACAAATATGTACCCTGGACTGCTATTACACTTTTTAAAATGATTTTTACTGAACCATGTAATATTTACATATATTAGAACTGAATTATTCAGCCAATAATAGAATATAAACATGTTTTTAAAATTTCATTTTATTTTGCATTTTTGTCATTAATCTGTTGCATGTCTTTCTCTTGTATTTGAATGTATACTAAAGAACTCCACTTCATTATGCTGCTGCCAATTGTAATTACCAGTGCCTGTTTGCCCTTGTGGGATCTGGAGCTAGTGTGAATGACCTTGATGAGAGGGGTTGTACACCATTGCACTATGCAGCTGCATCAGACACAGATGGCAAGTAAGTGTCATGTCTTATACAAAAGGGTGAATATTTAAAGACTTCAGAGCTGTGTATTTTGTTTGCTTACTTTCTGTAATCATATATGCCAAATGTAATATTTATATTTCTTTGAAGATGGCTAAATGGTATGATTATTGGGCTGTTAACAATAAATATAAGAAATGCTTTGGTTTAAACATATGTTTTCCCCCCTCCTCCCATTACAGCAAGGTGTATTGTAATCTTTTGGATTTTAATGTTGAAGTCTTAATGGGCTATACACTGTGGATTAAATTCCTGCTCTGCACAAAATAAATGTGATTTGGGTCTTGGCGGCTTGAGACTTCCTGATAACTATACTAGAGGAGGCGTTTTTTCTAAAAATTCTAATATTTAAGCTCTAGAGGACTGGAGGCAATATGTTTTAAGTGATAGGTCCTTGACTCTGCCATTTGTTTCCCTTGCTGGATCACCAGACTTAATATTGTAAGACCAGTCTGAGTTATCCTTGTCCTGAGGTAGGCTGAATGTAAAATATTTATTTAAATACATAAACATTTTAACATGTAGAAGTAACAAACAAAAAGAGAGAGGGTGATGGTAACAGCGAGAGGAACATGTGATACAGAATAGCTGTGCATAACTTGTTAGGCTTTTTTGAAGTGTAAATAAAGAGTAGATGATACCAGTAATCGCTACTGGCCATTTGAGTAGCCATTAAAGTATATGTACCCCTTCCATGTAAAGTCTAGGTTTTTTGATTGTTTACCTGCTACTTCTCTGTTAGTTATGTAATCCCACTTCCTGCTGGCAGTTGTTGAGGGGTATTTACTTTAATTATCACTTGGAATCTTGGAGCTTGGAATGATTTCACAGTTGCTCTCAAAGGGCTTGTCTACATTACCCGCTGGATCGACGGGCAGCAATCAATCCAGTGGAGGTCGATTTATCGTGTCTAGTGTAGAAGCGATAAATCGACTGCCGACCGCTCTCCTGTCGACTCTGGTACTCCACCAGGGCGAGAGGCGCAGGCGGAGTCGACGGGAAAGCGTCAGCCGTCGACTTGCCGCAGTGAAGACACCGCCCTAAGTAGATCTAAGAACGTCGACTTCAGCTACGTTTATTCACGTAGCTGAAGTTGCGTAACTTAGATCGATCCCCACCCCCCCCCCCCCCCCCCCCCCCCGCAGTGTAGACCAGGCCAAGGACATCAATGCCTCAGTACCAGAGTGAGTCTTCAGGTTACATTATTTTGCCAGCTGTCTTGCAGAGGCTAGAGGATGAATTATGATAGTAATATTTCAGTGCCTTTGGGAAATAACACAAAGAATGATCTCCAAAAATCCCTGAAATATTATTGTTCTGATGAACAGTTGGCTCTTTGGAAGATAGACTGCCAAGTAGTATAACCTGAGAAGCAGCTTTTTGAGTGGATGCAGCAGTATGCTTAAGATCAGTTGGGAAACAAGTTCTGTCTGGCTCAAATTCAAACAGAGATTAATAATAATAATAACAGTAATAATAAAAACCAAATAAAACTAGAAATTAATATTGGGCTGGAATATAAGTGCTGGAGACAATGTCAGGTAAGTGATCTATATAGAATCTCTGGAACATTTGTGTGGTTTTTCATAAAGTTTGTGCAGATGTTTCCAGAGATGACTTTCTGGAACAATGGCACTCTTTCTAAAAGACCTTCTCCCCATTTATAAAAGGAATTTTGATCACAGGATGACCGTGAGCTGCCATGAAAATGCCATGTGATGCAGCCGTGAAAAAGGCTAGGATGCATCAGGCAAGGTATTTCCACTAGAGACAGGGAAGTGTTAGTATCATTTTACAAGGCACTGGTGAGACCTCATCTGGAATACTATGTGCAATTCTGGTCTCCCATGTTTAAGAAAGATGAATTCAAACGGGAACCAGGAGCAGAAAAGAGTTTCTAGGATGATCTGAGGAATGGAAAACATACTTATGAGAGGAGATTCAAAGAGCTTGGCTTGTTTAGCCTAATTGAAAGAGGGCTGAGGGGAGATATGATTGCTCTCTATACATACATAAGAGGAATAAATACCAGGGAGAGAGAGGAGTTATTTAAGTTAAATGCCAATGTTGACACAAGAACAGATGGATATAAACTGGCCATCAACATGTTCAGGCTTGAAATTATACAAAGGTTTCTAACCATCAGAGGAGTGAAGTTCTGGAACAGCTTTCCAAGGGAAGCAGTGGGGGCAAAAAAAATCTAACTGGCTTCGAGACTGAGTTTGATAAATTTATGGAGGAGATGGTATGATGATGTTGCCTACAATGGCAAGTAGCTGATCTACTACTGCTAGCAGCAAATATCTCCAACAGCTGGTGATGGGTCACTGGATGGGGAGGGCTCTGAGTTACTACAGAGAATTCTTTTCCAGGTGTCTGGCTGGTGGGTCTTGCCCACATGCTCGGTGTAACTGATCACCATATTTGGGGTTGGGAAGGAATTTTCTCCTGGGTCAGATTGGCAGAGACCCTACGGGTTTTTTTGCTTTCCTCTGTACCGTGGGGTACGGGTCACTTGCAGGCTTAAACGATTGTAAATGGTGGATTCTGTAACTTAACTTTAGTCTTCAGTAACTCATCCATAGGTTAGGAGTCTATTACAGGAGTCTGTGGGTGAGATTCTGTGGCCTGCAATGTGCAAGCGGTCAGATTAGATGATCATGGTGGTCCCTTCTGACCTTAAAGTCTGAGTCTATGACCTTGTCTACACTAGAACTTACTTTGGTATAATTTATGTCGCTAAGCGGTGTGAATAATCCACACCGCTGAGTGACGTAAGTTATACCGGCCAAAGTGCCAGTGTAGACAGTGCAATGTCAGTGGGAGAGGTTCTCCTGCCAATTACTGCCTCTTGTGGGAAGTGGAATATTTAAGTGACGGGAGAGTTCTCTCCCATCAGCTTAGAGCATCTCCACCACAAGCGCTACAGCAGCACAGCTGCATCAGTGTAGCTGCACCGCTGTAAGTGCTGTCGTGTTAGATGTAGTCTATCTCCGGAGTATGTTTAACAAATACTTGTATTCCTGGGACTCAAACTAGCAAGCCTTACGTCTGTATCAGATAAATTAGTTGAAAAAAATGACAGTTATAAAACAATAGGGATAAGCTTTTGTAAAGGAAAGTCTTGCTTCTCCAGCCTTTTTAGAGATATTTGACAGTCATCAAGCTAGCAAATAAATGAGAGAGGTAGACATAATTTAATATGGACTTAATGTTGTGGATGAGGTATACCACATGTTGTGATAGGCATGTGTAGGATCCATGGATCTTGAAAGGTGTGTTAGTTGTTGTTGGAGCATTTAGTGCACTATGTGGGTAAACCAGACAATCACTATGCTTTCAAATAAACTCACACAGGAAAATGATAACAGACAAAAACACCCCATCACCTCTCGGTGAACACTTTTCACAAAGCAGTCACTCTATATCTGACCTATCAGTCCTCATCCTCAAAGGAAACCTGCACAACACTTTCAAAAGACAACCCTGGGAGCTTAAATTCATTACTGTGCTAGACACTAAAAAAGTCATGGACTGAACAGAGACCCTGGATTTATGGCTTAATACATGATCTGTAACCCACTAACCTCCTCTTTTTATCTTATGACTGCTGAGGTATTAACAGATCACTCTACCTTGAATGGTCCCTTACAATCCGTGCAAACTACGGTATTTATGCTAAATGATCTGCTGCACCTTGCATTTTGCTGTGACGTACCATTCCCAGACCTGAACAAGAAATTTTACTTGGGATATATCAACCTTCATGCAACAAGGCATAAGCCAGCCGTTGGCTGTCTGGGGTTAGGAAGACATTGTCTCCCTAGCCATATTTTTATATATATATATCTGTTGTGATGGTCTTACATCCTCCTCTACATCTTCTGGTACTGCTCTCTGTCCTTCTTCTGAATACTAGGATACATGGATCACTGTTTGATGTAGTAAGGCATGGCAATTTGATGCTCCTATTTGTTGCATATAATAAAATTGAACTTTTTTTGTATTTTCAAGGCAAGTACTAGTTTACAAATTAGTGAAAAGCTGAATTTTAATATTATTAATATGGTTGTCATTTGTCACTTCACACAGGTGCCTGGAATACTTACTAAGAAATGATGCAAATCCAGGGATCCGAGACAAACAAGGATACAATGCAGTTCATTATTCTGCTGCTTATGGTCATCGCTTGTGTCTTGAACTGGTAAAAAAACAAAAAACAAACCAAAAAAACCCAACTTACTATGAAATAGTTACTGTCTACTTGTAGAGTTCTTCTAAGTTAGGTTGCTGGCCTGGAATTTAAGACCCAGGTTTAATTCCTTACTCCTGCAACCTTCCACACATGTTGCACAAGTCACTGAGTCTCTCTCTGTCTGTTCCCCAATTATGAAGTGGGGATAACAGTACTACTTTACCGCACCGGAGTGTTGTGAGGATAAAAATATTAAAGATTGTGACGCACTTGCATACTGTGGTAATGGGGGGCCATGTAAATAACTTAGAGACAGAATCAAATGGTTGAAAGGATTATTGTTCTAGGTCGGGGGTGGGCAAACTTTTTGGCATGAGAGCAACATTGGGGTTTCAAAACTGTATGGAGGGCTGGGTAGGAAGGCTATGCCTCCCCAAACAGCCTGGCCCCCACCCCCTATCTGCCCCCTCCCACTTCCCATCCCATGACTACCCCCCTCAGAACCCCTGACCCATCCAACCCCACCCTGCTCCTTGTCCCCTGACTGCCCCCTTCAAACTCCCCACCCCTATCAACCCCCCCGCTCCCTGTCCCCTGATTGCCCCGACCCCTATCCACATCCCTGCCCCCTGACAGGCCCCCCTGGACTCCCACTCTTATCCAACCCCCCATTTTCCCCCCCAAACCTCCCCCTGAACCTCCGCCCCACCCAACCGCTCCCTGTCCCCTGACTGCCCCCCCCAACCGCTCCCTGTCCCCTGACTGCCCCCCCGGGACCCCTGGCCCCTTATTCAACCCCCCAGCCCCGACCCCCTTACCATGCCACTCAGAGCAGCATGTCTGGCAGCCGTGCCGCCCGGCCGGAGCTAGACACGCTGCTGCTCTGCTTGGGGAGCTCAAGGGCTGGTCAGGACGGTCCCGCAGGCTGTATTTTGCCCACCTCTGTTCTAGATAGTGGGATAACACCGAATATTTTTTGTTTAAAAAACTATCATTTTTCTTCTGTTAGCTAATGTATTAAAACCACTGAGATGTGTTAACTGATTTAATATGAGCTTGTGTGGATTAAAAACGAGCATAATACATTTTAGCTGAGAGAGATTTACATATTTGAAAGTGAAGGACCTAATTTTGAAATATTTTGATCATAATATTGCAGTGACTAATGGCTACATAATAAATTTAAATAACCGCTTCACAGTAGATTTTGATCAGCACTTGGCACAAAAGTGTACCATTTGACATTTGTTTTATATCTTCCATGTTTAGAGTTAGTACTTATATGAAAATTACACTTGTATTTTCAATTTTTTCAAGACTGTTGAACTAAAAAATTTTTTTTTTAATTTCAGATTGCAAGTGAAACTCCCCTAGATGTTGTAAGTGTGTACACTTTATCATCATTCAAGTATTGTATAGTACAATGGAGCATTCTGTCTCAGAATACTATTGCTTATCCTGGTGTGTCCAACTGTGTGCTTTCCAGTGAACAGACATGCATTTTATACTACTACTACTACTACTACTACTTATTATTACTTATTGTATTACTATAGCACCTATGAGCCTTAGTCATGGACCAAGAACCTGTTGTGCTAGGTGCTGTACAAACAGGACAAAAGACAGTCCCTCTCCCGAAGAGGCTTACAATCTCAGTACTTGCAGTTCAGAAAATATAATATTTATATTTAAAAATTGCCTAATTACAATTACTTTTCAAGTACAGTGGAATTTCAGTGGCTGGAACCATTCTTTCTAACAAACTGATAAATCTCTGTCTGTTAGTTCAGTTATCCAGATGCATTGAATGGTTTCCAAGCATTTTGAATAGTTGGGATTCTGCTGTATTTATAGAATCATAGAACTGGAAGGGACCTCGAGAGGTCATCTAGTCCAGTCACCTGCACTCAAGGCAGGATTATGTATTATCTAGACCATCCCTGACAGGTGTTTGTCCAACCTGCTCTTAAAAATCCCCAATGATGGAGATTCCACAGCCTCCCTAGGTAATTTATTCCAGTGCTTAACCACTCTAACAGTTAAGAAGTTTTTCCTAATGTCTAACCTAAACCTCCTTTGGTGCAATTTAAGCCCATTGCTTCTTGTCCTATCCTCAGAGGTTAAGAACAATTTTTCTCCCTCCTCCTTGTAACAACCTTTTATGTACTTGAAAACTGTTATCATGTCCCCTCTTGGTGTTCTCTCTTCTCCAGACTGAACAAACCCAGTTTTTCCAATCTTCCCTCATAGATCATGTTTTCTAGACCTTCAATCATTTTTGTTGCTCTTCTCTGGACTTTCTCCAATTTGTCCACATCTTTCCTGAAATGTCGCACCCAGAACTGGACACAATACTTAGTTGAGGCCTAATCAGCGTAGCGTAGAGTAGAGCGGAAGAATTACTTCTCGTGTCTTGCTTACAACACTCCTGCTAGTATATCCCAGAATGATGTTTGCTTTTTTTGCAACAGCGTTACACTGTTGATTCATATTTAGCATGTGATCCACTATGACCCCCAGATCCGTTTCCGCAGTACTCCTTCCTAGGCAGTCATTTCCCATTTTGTATTAACTGCAGTCCTGAAAAAGAATCTGCATTAATACACCAAGCAAATTTTGAATGGGCCACCACAGGAAAACACACAGGGATTTTTTAACTCATTTTATAATATTATATGTGCCTTGATTCACCTCTTCCTTTTCATGTAAATTTGTGGTTTTCCTCTCCTTCCCCTTGCTGCTGAGGATTACTTCCATCAGGCTTTCCGTGTCTATTTTCTTCGTTGCTTTTCCTTCTCCTTCCTTACCATATGTTCCCCACCTATCCAGTGTTCCTTACTGATAAGCTGTTTGTTTGCTTTTATTTAAAAAAGAAAATACCTTATTTGGGAAGAATTTCTTATTTGAATAGTTCAATCTGAAGCCAAATGAAACACCTGCTAGTTGGGCTGGGGAGACGCAGGAAGAGTGTTGCCTTTACAGCCCAAAGCCTTTAAAAGATTGAAATAGTCATTTATACAATACTTGGGGGGCGGAGGGAATACCATGTCTGTGGAATTTTGTGTATTTTAATCTGTAAGTGGTGAGGGATAGCAATTCCCATACTGTTGTTGGAGTGTGTGTTTTAAAACAGTTTTTTTGTTGCATTTAATCTAAATTTGTATTTCTTCTAGCTAATGGAAACATCAGGTACTGACATGCTGAATGATTCCGACAACAGAGCACCAATTAGTCCATTGCACTTAGCTGTAAGTATTTTGTTTGCTATTGATTGTTGGGCTACTGAATCATATAGATATATGCACAACAATTTTTTGACTGATACAAGATAGTTTTGATTCATGCCATAGGTTTATTTGCAGGCAATAACAATAGTTTACAATTCTTAATATATACGCTCTCTTACGTGAGTTGCATAAGATTGTGTGTATCAATTGTAAATGTGCTCTTGAGGAAACACTGTCAACATCAAATCTGTTCAGTATTAAAAAAAAGAAAAAGTTAAAACTGGTTTCAAGTACTGCTGAGTCCCCCTACCATTTTTTTTATTATTTAGAGCCACCTTTTCCTATTTTTAAACATGTTTTTCTCTCCCCTGTTGTTCATGAAAGACATTCACAAATTATCAGGGAACTGACTACACAGGGAAAACGGTGAAGCTGATCATATAAAAGTGCAGTGAAATGCCAAGTAAGCAAGCTTGAATAAAATATTTTTTCTCTAATCATAGGTTAAAATAATCAAAAAGTGCCCCCTTTTAAATAAGTGTAAAGCAAATATTAAAAATTGATGGTGCACAGGTATGAGACAACACGTGTTTTTGATACACAGGACCAAAAGAAATGATGGGACATCAGTAAGGTGACTTCTAAAATTAGCAATAGAAAAAAAAGGGGGGACTAGGCCTGAAATTACATGAGGACACTGGCTTGTGACAGAGTGCTGAAACCTGGCAGGTGAGTTCGCACTCAGCTCTCTTAGCCTCAATTAGTTTCCCCAGTGATGGCTAATTGAACAATTAGCTAATCAGAAGGATTGGCTAGGGATGTCAGAAACTAATTAGCCCTCAGCTAGCTATAAAAGCTGATGAAGGCCGAGAAGGAAGTGTTACAAAGCGGATGAGGACAGGGCTAGCTGAGTGTAGAAGGAAAGCGCTTCCAAGAGAGAGATCTCTTTTCCTCCTAGGGCCCTAGAAAAGAAGGGCTGAAAGATGTAGAGGCTTAAAACTGTGGTGTTACACTGTACTGGTGTGGGTGGAAGGCTTAGAATAAAATACAGCCTGAACACTAAAAGAAAACAGGTCTGAGCAGTTTCTGGAATACTGAGAATGGGGACAGTGTGTCGCCCCCTTATAGGTTAGACACCCAAGGAGGTATGAAGGACTCCTGACAACTCAAATAAACACAGTTGATTTTTATTTATTTTTTTTGTAATAGCTTGGACCAGCACTTGAAGTTGTTCATTGTTCTCACAGCTGTACCATGACATTTGACACATTATCATGACAGGTCTACACGGTAGATTTCCCACAGTTATCAATTCTAGTCTTATTGCATCACTTTCCAAATCTTCTCCATTCTGCCAACAACAATCACCTGGTCTGTCTTTATTTATTTATTTTTTCTTACAGGGAATTTCCTGTAGCTGTGTTGGTCTCAGGATATCAGAGACAGGAAGTGGGTGGGGTAATATTTTTTTATTGGACCAACTTCTGTTGGTGAGAGAAACAAGCTTTGGAGCCACACACAGCTCTTCTTCAGATCTGGAAAAGGTACTCTGAGCATCACAGCTAAATGCAAGGTGGAACAGATTGTTTAGCATAAGCAGTTAGCACATAATATAAGGGACCATTCAAGGTAGAGCGGTCCATTAATACCTCTGCAGGTGGCTAGTGGGTGTTAGTGGGCCACACTACCCTTGCATTTAGCTGTGAGGCTGGGAGTACCTTTCCCAGACCTGAAGGAGATTTCTTTGGGGCTCAAAAGCTTGTCTCTTCAACAGAAGTTGGTCCAATAAAATAGGAGTTCCCAAAAGAGATACATGAGACATCTCTGGGAGACTTGCGGGAGAAATTGTATAATAGTTTATTTATTATTTTATTTATTGCATTCTCATAATAGGCTATTCAGATGAAGCTTTGAAACTGAGAATTTGTTATAAAATACAGTAATTAACTTACTTCAAGATGTACCGGTGAGAACACAGAGATGTTGACAGAGAGAGCCCACACCTCCAACCACTGTACAGTGCGGGTTGAGTTGCTCAGCATCTGTCCAATTTGACTGAGCTCAGAACTTAATCAGGTTTTTTTTTGGTTGTATATGTTGCACTATAACTATATCTGTACATAACAGTGAAATATGGGCAGATGGCTAAAGAAAGGTAGTGTTAAGAAGAACACACACAGTGTCAATGATGAGAAGGGTAGTGTTCATGGGCAGCTGGTAGATCTGGATATGGGTACACGGACAGCTGGTAGTTCTGAAAGGAGATGCACAAATAAGAAAAGTTTGGGAACCTCTGCAATAAAAGTTATTACCTCACCCACTTTGTCTCAGGGAATTTCCTGTCATTCCAGTTTTAGCATGTTCTTTTGAAGGGGAAAAAAAGTATTACATAAATATAAAATCTACAAAAAGTTTTTTTAAAATAAAAAGTTGATTCTATATTACAATAAACTAACTTTTTTTGTCTTTACGTAATCACTTAGACCCTGATCTTGCCAGGAGCTCCCCATGGGTGCAGGAGTTCATCCACTCAGAGCTTCTTGTAGAATTGGGTCCTTATTCTGTCATGTGAAAATGTTCTGTGTTTTGTATAAAAGACTAAATGCAGTGGTTATGTATTAATCATCCTTTAATTTTTACACAAGATGATTTACAGGGCTGTGGTATATAAAGTCTTGAAAAGATGAAAATCTGAAAAAAACATAATATAGGATAAAGAATTGATCTGTGTATCTATTGACCTCATTCCATTTAATACACTGCACTTGAAATGCTTTAACTTCTGTTTTTACTGCTCTACCATATTATTTGTAAACATTTTGCCCTATTAAAGGGCCACTGCCAATGACAATTTTAAAAAGAGCAATTTTGATACATCACTTCATGTTTGTCCTGCCTTTAAAAAAAAAAAAAAAAAAAAAAAAATAGAAAATCATTTTTTTTAAATTAGTTTTTCCTATATGCCTTCTGCCTTTAAGATCCTATGGGCATCCTGAGTGCAACAACGCTGAACATAGTTGTGGCCCACCTGTTTTCCCATTTCTTTTTAAGTATGTGAGCACATCTGCCTCTTCAGTTTCAGCTTTGCTGCTGCTATTACAAATAAATGCCCTCTGCAGAGGGTAATGAAGAGTCTGCATGTGAGCCCCCAACTAGAGCAATGCATAAGAGTCATGCACCTGATCGTAAAGCAGTGAAGTTCACTGCACCTAAAGAGTTATCAAATACACAAAGTAAACAAACTGGAAAAATGACACATTTTTTTCTAATTTCTTCCAATTACTGATAAAAAAAAAATAAATTAAATAAAAATAGGTACAGATTGTTCAGTTGAAAGTATGTTTTTAACATTGGTTACAAAATGATTGATTTTTACTTAAAACAGCAGATATTCTTCTAAATGCTTTTGTTACACACTATTTTCATAGTGTCCTTTTCTGATGTAAATGAAACACTACTGCACTGTGTTAATATTCCCTTAGGCCTATCATGGTCACCATCAAGCTCTGGAAGTACTGGTGCAGTCTTTGTTGGACCTTGATGTGAGGAACAATAATGGAAGGACACCATTGGATCTTGCAGCTTTTAAGGGACATGTGGAGTGTGTGGATGTACTTATTAATCAGGGAGCATCAATCTTAGTGAAAGACTATGTTGTAAAGAGAACTCCAATACATGCTGCAGGTATGTTGTGCTGAACACAAATGCATGGGTTTGGGGTTTATATTATTTTGTTCATGTAATAATGCACAGCAGTCTGTTGTTTCTGTGGCATTAACAGAGTGGATTACGTCTTAAATTATGTTCTGCACTGTGGAGGATGAGGAAGAGCATGAGGTAGTGGGAGTGCCTTAGCTTAGTGAGAGAGAGAGAAAATGCCTTAGTTAGATGTCTTCCTTGGGCTCTGGAGGAGTGTAGTACCTCTGCCATCCATTAAATCAGGGGTGGGCAAACTACGGCCCGTGGGCTGGATCCAACCCGCCAGCCATTTTAATCCGGCGCTCCAGCCTGGGAACAGGGTCAGGGGCCTCTCCACGCGGCTCCTGGAAGCAGCGGCATGTCCTCCCTCCGGCTCCTATGCGTAGGGGCAGCCTGGGGGCTCTGCGAAGGAGCCGGAGAAGGGACACACCACTGCTTCCGGGAGCCACTTGAGGTAAGTGCCCCCCAGAGCCTGCACCCCCAGCTGGAGCCCTCACCTCCCTTTCTCCCCCCCCCCAACCCCCTGTCCCAGCCCTGATCCCCCTCCCGTCCTCCAAACCCTTCGGTCTCAGCCCGGAGCACCCTCCTGCGCCCCAAACCCCTCATCGCCAGCCCCACCCCAGAGCCTGCACCCCCAGCCAGAGCTGCACCCCTTCCCACCCCAACCCCCCACCCCAGCCTGGAACCCCCTCCCGCACCCTGAACTCCTCATTTCTGGCCCCACCCTGGAGCCCGCACCCCCCAACCAGAGCCCTCACCCCTTCCCGCACCTCAACCCCAATTTTGTGAGCATTTATGGCCCGCCATACAATTTCTATTCCCAGATGTGGCCCTTGGGCCAAAAAGTTTGCCTACCCCTGCATTAAATGGATGCAGTGTGCATTTCCCTCCATGCCAAACAGCTGTGCTGTCTAGGATGTTTGTGGGTGAATGGCATGGTCAAGGCCCTGCCATTTGTAGGACATTGTAGTGTTGAGATATGTTGTGTAACTTAGCTGTCATAATTTGTGATGGCATCAAACAGTGCTCTGCTTTTAATCTGTATCTTGGAGAGCTCTGGCAGTTTTGTGAGAAGAGAAGTGTGATGGTTATTACTCAGTGCTTTAAGGATTAAGTGACTGAACTCTTACTGAGTTTTTGAAAAAATTAATGTTGATGATGATTTTTAATCCTTTCTCCCCCTCTCTCACTTCTCCCTGTGGTTTCCCCCCAAAAAATGTCTTTTTAAGGGATACTTAGTTATTCATTCCTTTCTTGTCTTTTTGCAAGTGAACTTTACTTTTTTTTTTTTTTTTTTTTTTTTTTTTTTTTTTTTTTTTTTTTT